TATACTAGTATCGCTGTTAACAAATCTTAGTCCATATCAGTATATACGTCTAAAATATCCTCACAAATCCTGGTCCAGACATGACTATCTAAAACCCAGACTAAAAGGTAGTTATGTTACAAAACAAACGGAAAGCAATCAAGAGATCTTGATAATTATTATCTAACAGGTTTCCTGTCGATAATAAATCACAAACCACCATTTCCTAATAGAACTCTAGCTTCTCTCTTATCACGTTTCTACAAACACTGAGCTAACAGATACTTCTTACACTACAGCTTTCATCAATTATTAAACAATGTCAAAAGAGAATTTCTAGCCTGTATGTTGTATCAAGGAGACACCTACAGCTTCTGATTTTTAGTTTGACATATGTGATTCTTGTTCAAAATCAAATTTGACATAATATCAAGCTTTAACGTTATTTAACAAATAATTAAAACAAGTTTCACAGAACAAAAGCTGGACAACTTCCTCATAGAACATCATTGGTTCCTGAAGTTAAAAAAATACATGACAAGATTATAATGATACGAAAAAATTATATCCTTAGCTTGAATATATTTGTGATAACTTCTGTATCATTCTAATTTCTTGTCCATCAACCATGTTCTCGATATTCCACAAAAATTTGGCAAGATTATGACTTGGCTACCGTTACTCTTTTAACATTGAGCTTGTATCATATATTCTGATAATCTATACAAATTTTCAACCTTTCATCTTGAAAACAGCAAGACAAGACCTATTATCCAGCTGAATCAAATTTTTTCTGTCTTGTTATTCAAATCTATAGATCAGATTTTCTTAGACCTGTTTTTCAGACACACAGAACAACAACATAATTAAGAGAGACAAGGGAAGCCTTTGATACTCTGTAACATAATGAGAACGACAATAACTTATTAACTTCATTTCCTTTCCAACAGGTCACGGAAACACTCCACTTGATGTAATAATTTAACTCAATTCTTCTCTTAAGGTCTATGTTAAAAGTACTGCAAATATCCGTTTTTATATCCTCAACATTAACGCTGCTTTATCTACAATATCCATTGTACAAAGCTTAACATCAATGAACAAACCTTTACATTATTGAACACTGCTAAAACCCTGTGCCTGTGCTTCCTGTTGATTAGCAACTTCTTACCTTTCAACTACCTAATCACTACCAATAACTGAATTCTTCGCTAGAAGTACTACGAATATCCATTGTACAGACCTTAACATCAGTGAATAAGCCTTGACATCAGTCAACACTGCTTAACCCCGTAACCTTTCAACGGGTTATAGTCATAATGGCCCTAAACCAAAATGGTCCCAGGTCAAAATGGCCCCAAAAGTCAACATGGTCCCAAATAAAATAGTCAAAAAGGCCCCAGAAATTACTCTTTGATTTCAACCAAATTTTCAAGTCAACTACTCAACCAATATCATCTGATAAAAATTCTTGTGACTTTATTATGATGAACAATCATGGCAAACTGCAGCAAAATAAACTTTTATGCATGTAAACTTATCTAATGACTTTGCTTCAGCTGATAAAAATGATCCCTGGTTATTGAAATTATTTTTTATGAGCACAACACGAACAGGTGTTGATACCGTTTCATAATTTTTAAACTCAATTTTATATTTTCCTTGATTTTCGCTTTAAAGGGACAGATAGGCCATGTTTTTAGACCAATCATACTTTAGTCCCAGAAACTGGAATTTTTTAGCTGAGCTAATCAATAATAGTGTTTTTGCTTTTGAATGCTAAAATGACGACTCGTCAATTTACGATACCCTGTGATATATAGAAAAGACATATATAGAAATAGTGAGTAAAATTCCTAGTTTGAAGTATTTTTAAAGGAATTATGTAATTTCCGTACATTTCCAGTACTTCTTTCAAGACTCCCCAAAAATGGCACAACTGTCCCTTCAATAAGTATTTTTATTAAAATACAACGTATATCTTTACAGTTTCTCAAACTAGAAGTTATACAACCTTAACAATGTTACCTGTATTTAGAAGTAGTGTATCCATAAGCTTATATCTTAGTATTTTTTATACAACCTTGTTCCAAAAAAATATATCAAAAATAGAAATATTACTATTTGTTGACATAATATTATTGTCTGTTGTTAGCCATTCTGTGTTAAAAAAAGAACACATTAATCACCCATGAATCACATCTAGGGTCTATTGAGCTTACATAGTGACAGTGATTCAATTCTGAGAATAATCCCCCTCCCCCAAAATTCATCTAAATTTCACATTACTAACTTGCCTTATTTTTACAAACACAAATTAGATTTTGAATTTTTGATTTAAATTGAACAGAATTGAACTTCATTCCTTGTAGTTGCCTTGGCCTGAATTTGATCAACAAAGTGGTCTGAAATGTTTATCTCAAAGTTGTAAACAAAACACACACAAAAATGTCAAACAGACGATCAAAACCAATCCGTCAAAAACAAAATGGAGAGTTTTACCTAATCCAGTCTCCTAAAGTTAATATCCATAATGGGAAGTCAGTGAAAACGTTTACAAGCCGTTAGATTTCTGGCAAATCACACGCCAACAAACACAATGAAGGAAGGTGGAATTCCAAACGGCCCTGACCTTGCTACAAAACTAGTAAATACTTGCCTTATTTTTGTCTTTTTGTTGCGATGGTTTCCGTTTTTCTCAGTTTCGTTCGACACAATATAATCCCCCTGTGTTTTTCAATGAATTAAAATGTAACAGAAATGTTGTAGCCCCCGAAATTCGGCCCGAAAACAGAGCCTTGGTTATAATCGCAACATGTCCGTATCTTTCGACGGGGGATAGATTGCAGAATGTCAGTGAGGTACGAAAGGAGAGCCTAAGTGTAAAATAGAAAACATCTGACTTTTCCTAATTTCATTGATATTTTCAGATATTAACTTTTCAAGATATATTCAGTTTATTTATTCATGAACATTTATTCACTTTTAAATAATTTTGCTTTTAATTTCTTCAAATAGAAATTTTATGAAACTAAGTTTCCACAAGTCCTTTAGATTCTCACACGTCATGTGACGTCATGGATACTCGGTGAAGACGATGAGGAAAATAACAACCAATGAGAATTTCAATAGAAATAAACAAATTGGCACATTTCACCATTTATGTATTTAGTGGCGGGAAGCCACACATAAATCAAAGCTCCCCTCAACAATATTTATTTTGATTTTACTATAAATTTGTGTTTGTTATCGATATTATATTCGACTGTTAATGTAGCAGAGCTGAGGTGTGGTTTATGGTCAATAATGCACGGTTGTTGGATTTCGAAGTATTACGTAATAATGACGTGACGGCTATATAAAAATTATTACGTAATATCTGTCTTCTGATGGACAGTCATAAAGTTCTTTTCTTACTCTTTATTATCCATTGATAGACGTTTTAATGAATAATGAAATGGTTTTCTCCTTATTTTCCATGTGTGTTCAATGGGCCTAAAAGCATGCATGTAAAATATTCGGCAAAAGATTCTTCGTGGCTCGTATTCTGCCCACATATCTTTCAAACAAAAGTATAATTAAATTTGAAAATATTTGAATTCAAATGTATCATACCTATATTTGTAGCATTTTTCAAATGTGATCTGATGAAATTTTCATTATTGAGTTGCCTCCCTTGATAGAACTCTCTAAATTAAAGGTGTAAAGAACCTACCATTAAAAAGGAGGTAGAGAAAGTCTAAGGTCAAAATACCGACAGAAAATGATGTAAAACTGAACATTTTTGCAAAAATTAAGAAATGGGAACAGTGCATGCAAAGGCAATTATAAAATTTACTAATCTTTAAACATTATTTTCACTACGTAAACTGGCGTTATTGAATAAGCATTTTTATTGATGAAATCCATGGCTAATGACTAATGTTTTCCAAAAAAATCGAAATGAAATGAATGAATTTTTACGTTCACCCTGGGCCTTTAGGTTAGCGAGCAAGCGTCTTACTCACTGAGCCAGCGTCTTACTCACTTGAGCCAGCGTCTTACTCACTGAGCCACCACGTAATACAATCAAGAACTGGAGAGGTTCCTCCAATTTATAGTGGCTTCATTGCTCCAAATTACATCAATATCAACCCACCCACATTGCCATCAGACAATTGATGCTATATATTTGAGTTCCAGTATGTACATTGAATGATGACGATCAATAGGCATGAAACACTTAATCTCTTCCAAAACTCCTGTCTGTCCTTGCAAATTATCTCCTAAACTGGTACCCTGATGTTTTCGCTTAGCACTACACTAACAACAGGTACAGCCTAAATCTCACAGTCAAAATATTGACTGCAGGATTAAACGAGACATCATCTATTTAGCGTTGACAGCTAGGAACCCCTATGATGTTACTGTAGTGTATCAACAATCAATCAAAATGACAATAGCCCAAACCCGCTCCTTCGGTGTGAAGATTTAGATGGAATGGGGGACCAGTTTACTGCTCTCTGCATGATTCATTGGTCATAAGTAAATCCTTTTCATATCATTTTTATCTGAGCCCTACCTATGAAGTGGTATCACGAATGTGCAAATTCTAAGGATGAAGACCTATCTTTAAACTTGTCAATGATGTTATTTTACAGGAGATGGAAAGTGGTAGAGGTAGACCAGAAATAGTGACCATGTCAGGTCCTGATACAAAAACTGTACCTGTAAGTTTTACTCTTTTACTCTTCCATTTTATAGGTTCTGTTGCACATTTGAGTGTCGGCTCTTTCCATGACATCATTTGCTTGTTTATGTCGAACAAATAATTGTTGTTGGTCTGCATTCAACAGTCTGATAACCTTGAACAAGTCATCTTTACTCATAATTCCAGTTGACCCAGCTGTAAATGTGTGTGGAATGATCAATGCAAGTTTTGGTCAGAGCTAGTTGAAGCATTCGTTGTTATCGTTGTAAAATAAGTTATTGTTTCTTTCTTTCATGTTATGAATTGTTTCTCCGTTTTATTATGATAGGTAAAGGTACAGAGAGTTATAATTGATGGTTTAGGGAGAACAAAAGATGATCTGATAATCCAACAAGTTCAACCAATATTTCAAGCTGATAACTTCGAAGAGGTAATGTCATAAAATATCACCTTTTTAATGTAGAAACATTTTATTTAAATAAATAATATCTATTGATAAATAAACAAAATAGGTAATGTTGTGTCACTGAATCAAATCTTCACCTTGACATCTTTTAAGCCCCTACACCAGTCCTATTAACTCAAAACTAATCATATTTTACATCATTAATCAGAGTTCGTTAAGCTATTTAATGATATTATCAGATGAAGTTCACCATCACACATTTCTGAGAAAGGGCAGTTCTAAACACATTTTCTCACCGTTGATCTGATGTTTGTGATGTCCCATAGGTTTATCATCGTTGCCATCTTATTAATGGATGACTTAATTTGCATTATGAACCTTGCATTTGCTGGTTCCAAAACAAGGCATGAATAAGGTCTATAGAGAAATCTGTGATTTATACAGTATATTTGTGATTATGTGTCTTATTGATATGCATGTCATGTTAGGAATAACAGGTGCCCAATAGATGACTGATGTCTATCTCTTATTTAAGAAAGATATCTATCTATCTATAAAATAGTCTGTATTTATCATTAATGTATAATTACAGATGGTGATGTTGAGTCAAGAGGTGAAAATAAAACTACAGAGATTACAGTTGTTTAAACATATAGAAATATATATAGATACTAGTAAAGGTAGTTATACACTCATATATTCTTCAATCCAGATATTGATATAAAGCAATTTGATTGGTTAATGAAGCAAGCTTTAAAATCGATGCAACATACTCTTTTGGGAGAGCCAGAATCCTACGCTAGTGCTAATACTATGACAACTGTGAATATTAATTGTCGTTAATATCTGCGACTACCTCACGAATCATGGACAAGTAAATCTTTCTTTTTTCAGCTCTTTGTTAAAAATATGGAAATACCAGACTGAAGCTCTCATTTCACTTTCTTATGTTCATTCATTTTACTTTTTTTTCAAGTTTTTTCTTCAAATTCTGTAACGCACAATCTTGCACGCGTTGATGCGCCCATGTGAAACTTGTGCACCCAGTTGTGTAACCTTGGTGTAATTTTTCAATGTAGGTAAATCATCAGTACCTAATGGTTACGAGGTGAAATTTAACGTCAAAGAAACCAGACGATTCACCGGAGAAACAAAAGTTACAATTGGTAGTAACAATCCAGAATTGGTAGGTGTTATTCTATTTTGTTTTCTCATCCATTTATTTAATACTTATATTATAAGTTATACCAAATGTTTCGTGAAAAAACCTGAGTAATGTTCTTGTCCATGGCATTATTTTTTTTATGAGAATTGGAATAGCAGCTTCAAAATTGTACTGTTAGTCTTAGAATATGTCTTTGTGTTGACACTAGATCCCCTTTCACCAACTCTCTGAAACAATCACATGACATATTTGTAAATTTCTCCAGAAGTAGGTAATTTCTCATCAAATTGATTTATTCTTATATGTCTTATGCTATAACACTTAATATTAATTAGTGGCAACGGCTAGACTCAGTTTGTAGCGAATTGGATTGTCCTCTGCTGGACGATAAAGTGCCAGGTTTAGAAAATAGTCAAGATTGGTGATCTGAATGCAGATGTGTGGTGTGGGACGATACAGTAGAAAATAGACAAAAAAACGAAGTATGGGTCTGGACACCATTCACTTCTACAGATTTCGACTATATCGATAATCTCTTGCTGTACACTGCACGAGACACCAGACTTATTCGTGGCTTTACATTTTACTACTCCTTAAATTAAGTTAGTGTCTATTGCATGTCTTGAGTCTAAATTACTATGATCTATAATTTCAGCTATTTGGTTTAAAGATGCCGAACGTATTTGGTCGAGGTGAGAGAGTACAAGTTAATTATGGTCAAGGTGTTAACCATGTTAGAGATTTTGGACTCAATTTTATGAAACCAATGTATGCCAACCCGGATGTCTTGTAAGTACTAATATTAAAATTAGATCACCATTTTGTTTTCCTGATATTTTTCGTCTCCATTGTAATTCAAAAAGTTGTCTACTTCATTTCATTTTAAACAATTTGTTGTCGATTTTTATTATCTCTATCTAGAGTTGAAAAGTAGGATGTAAAACTCCATTTCTTTAATTTGATTGATAGGTTTGGTTGTGGTATACACCAGTATAATGGTGAATATCCCTGGTCTGGTTATAGAGAATTAGATAGAGCTCTTAATTTTAATATTACAGTAAGTACTTTTCTCTTTTATTACAACTTAACAATCTATCTTATAGTCAAATTTTGTGTCATATGTACCACAAATTTAATCCTGTGAATTTTGGAAATTGGCCAGTGGATTGGCTCTCCTCTAAATGCTTAAAATTTATCTCAGGTCTCTGGCATTGGAGAGACGCCTCTCAATTTTTTTTATCTCTTCTACTTTCAGTTTCCCTCTATACTGGGTATACATACGTTAAAATGGGAAGGAGTGTGGCGAGATCTACGTTCGTTATCTAGAGTTACCTCCTTCGCTGTACGAGAACAGTCCGGACATTCTGTTAAATCTTCTCTCAAGGTAACAACAATGTTTTAAAGAGTTTCAAGCCATCACTTATGAAATTTCCCTTATTTCACACTGCATGGTGTTGCTGACTTTTATAGCCCATTCCTTTCATACATTCAGGCAATTGCACACATGTATGCGTACGTGTAAATTTAAGGCTTGTAGTTGCACCATTATTCATGTGATTAGTTCATAAGCTGCTACCAATGTTTCATCAAAATGTTGTTTGGATTTGAGGTATTGTTTTGAAGTTTGGATTGTTAGTACATGGATTATTTGATGAACAGTAAAGTATCTCTTCTAATCTAATTATAATGTTTCGCCAGTATGTTGTTTGTATTTCAGGTTTTGTTTTGGGGTTGGGATTATTAGTACTTGGTTTATTTATTGATCTTATCGTGTTTTTATTTCAGCATGATTTTGTACGAGATACAAGAGATAATAAAGTTTTACCTACAGTTGGATCATGGATCAGAGTCTCACAGGTAGAGTTAATCCCCTTGCCCCTCAATCCTCTTGCTCTTACCCTTGTAATTTATAGACCCACCCCCCTCACCCCTTCAGCTTTCTACCCCACCCATCTCAACAAGTGATTTCTCCCTTCTCCTAAACAAATGATTTACCCCATAACCATATCTCCTAAAATCAATTATGAATTTGTCATAGATGACTTAAGATATAGATTTTTATCTGTTTTCTAGAAATAGGCCCCAGGATCAGAAACCTACAACTCTATTCTATTTCATCAGTCAGTCATTGTGTTAGTTTACTGTCTGTGTTTACAGGAATATGCTGGTTTAGGAGGAAATGTAGAATTTGCTAAACAGGATATAGAATTTCAGTTTAATCAATCTCTATTGTATGATACAGTAAGTATATTTTTATATTTCTTGAATTATTCTTTGATTCAAACTTTGTAACAAAATCTATGCATTGATTTGGATCGGAAGAAATGACATCAGAAACCAGCCAAATCAGGACTTGCTTGTTCTTCTCAATGTCACTGATTTCTGATTTTTTTTCAATATTTCAATTTTGATTCCAGGTATTGCAATTCTCTGGTGCTTTTGGTATAATGAGATCTTTGAACCTCAAGAATGAAATCAGAATAAATGACAGGTTTTTTCTGGGAGGACCTCTGACGTTACGAGGGTTTAATATTAAGGGAGTGGGGCCTCACAGTGACGGTAGGTTTTAAACCTTTTTTTTTTTAATATAAATTGTTTTAAAACCAACATGTTTTCATTTTTTACTGCATTAGCCAATTATTCTGAGCAATGTGAATTACAATAATTTCATTATTGAATATTTCTGTACAAGGTATTTTAAAACTGCTGGTATTTCAAAATCGTTATAAAGCTGTAATTTTGTGAACAGATGCCTTGAATCTATTACCATATAAGGTCATAATATTATTTTCTAAGCTGTGATACTTTATGAAAAATTTAAACAATGGTGTTATTGTGTTTCGATATACACACGTAGGCCTATCTGTTTTCTTTAAGAAAATGACCATCAATTACAGACTTAAGATGGTGCTGTGGTTTTCTTTCCCCAGGTGATGCTTTAGGAGCTGATGCCTACTGGTTATTAGCTGCCCATCTATACACCCCTCTACCATTCCGACCAGGAAAAGGAGGCTTTGGAGATCATTTTCGCACACATTTCTTTGCCAATGCTGGGAACCTGAGTAATATTAGCCTTAGTAAGTATTTAATTTTACATTTAGATTATCTTCCATTTCCTCTGTCAATTACGCAATCCCAAGGCTTGATGTGGACAAAATGTTTACAGAGTAAAAAGAGTGATAAATAGAGGCCATGTGTGCTACAGACAATGATCCCTCAAATATTGGAAAGTTAGAATTGCTTAATTGGGCACACAAAAGAAGGACTTTAACCACAATTTCGTTCTCTCATGGCACTCTGTCATAATTAACGCAGCTTGGTATATCATAATAGGACTTGCACGTTTCCTGTTCTAAGGCCTTACATGAACAAAATGTTTATCATGTAGATAGGGTGATAAATAGAGGCCATGTGTGCTACAGACAATGATCCCTCAAATATTGGAAAGTTAGAATTGCTTAATTGGGCACAGAAAAGTAGGATTTTAACCTCAATTTCTTTCTCTCATTGCAAACTGAATAGTGTTAACTCAGCTTGGTAATCAACAGAGGACTTAAAACTCATTGCACACTTCATGGTGTTACCCATTGATCTTGTTAGATTCACAAAAATAGAATGTAAAAGTCATATCTATTGCACACTGCCTTGTGTAACATTATTATATTCACAATACCAGGATTTCATTATTTAAATTTCACATACAGATAACCATATACGTGAGAACGTGATGAAGTTAGGAGAAATGTTTCGATGGGCGTATGGTTGTGGAATTGTTTTAAATTTTATGTCGATGTTTCGATTTGAGTTAAATTATGTTGTACCAGTTAGATTACAGAGAGGGGATAGGTCAGTATGATAATATTTTAGTTAATTGACTTCTGCATATCTTTGGAAGGTGGCTGAGTGAGTTAAACACTTGCTTCCTAACCTGAAGGTCTAGGGGTTAAATCCCTGCATAGACATTGTGGCTCAGTGAATGTGGCACCTGCTCACTAATTTTAAGGTCCAAGGTTCAATCCCTGATTGAGGTTATACAAAAAATTTGCTTTTTTAACCCGGTATCCCTCTGTCATTGATGCAGGTGTGAGGTACTGATATGTTTGTTAGGTACAAGATTGATTTTAAACTTTGTCATTGTGATCATATTCTACCTAAAAAAAAGTGTTTAAAAAAAATTATTTTGTCTTTTAGTGCAAATCCAGGACTACAATTTGGAATAGGAGTGGAATTTTTATAGAAATGACATCATCCTTCTTCATCTACATTTATAATCATACATTTCATCATAGTCGTATGGAAGTGGTCTTATTTCTACTTGTCTCAAGATTTTGTCTATTTTTGGCTCCAAGAGGAAATTCTGTTGTTTAAAAACATTTGGACATTTACAAGAATAATTGTTCAGAAGGGCAAGTAATATATCAGGAGGTTTATGGTGTTAAGTAGTAGTAATGGAACTGGTCTGTTGTCAGCATTTTTTCAGGAGGGCATGTGACTGGTGAATATGGTCATATCAAGAACCCTGAGAAAAATTATTTTCCTTTGTAAAAAACACTGGTTTATTTTTAAATAGGGTGTTTTACTCACTTTACACCCCTTAATAATATAATGAACTTGCCCACACATGCATATTTCAATTTCACTGCCCCACCCCTAACAATATATTCTAAATAAGGGTGCCTTTCAAACTTTTTTTTAAGCATTTATTTAGTCATTATGATATCAGGGATTGTGGTATAGCAATCATAAGTTCTGTGAATAACTTTACTTAAGTAGATGTAAAAGATATACAAAGTAATTAATATTAGCCATGTGGACTCTCTGAAAGGAATGATGAGTTAAAATACCTATTCACAGAGTTAGGTTGTGTATAGAATGCCTCTGTAGAAGAAAACCTCTTTTCAAAACTTGCAACTTGCATAAAACTAGTTTACTGTAAATTGAGTTTAAGTAATGTATGTCCATACTTACCTGTAAATTGTGTTTATTAAAGTAATGTATGTCCATACTTACCTGTAAATTGAGTTTATTAAAGTAATGTATGTCCATACTTACCTGTAAATTGAGTTTAAGTAATGTATGTCCATACTTACCTGTAAATTGAGTTTATTAAAGTAATGTATGTCCATACTTACCTGTAAATTGAGTTTATTAAAGTAATGTATGTCCATACTTACCTGTAAATTGAGTTTATTAAAGTAATGTATGTCCATACTTACCTGTAAATTGAGTTTATTAAAGTAATGTATGTCCATACTTACCTGTAAATTGAGTTTATTAAAGCAATGTATGTCCATACTTACCTGTAAATTGAGTTTATTAAAGTAATGTATGTCCATACTTACCTGTAAATTGAGTTTATTAAAGTAATGTATGTCCATACATTTCTGTAAAAAAGGTTTCTGTAAAAAAGGTTTCTGTAAAGCAAGGTTTCTGTAAAACAAGGTTTCTGTCAAGCAAGGTTTCTGTAAAAAGTGTACTAGTATTGTATAAAGTATGTATTAAGAGTTGATTATGAAGTATATTATGTTTGTGTCAGGTTTAAATAGAGAAAGAGTTTTAAGTAAGAAATAATGAGTGCTATAAATACTCTATACCTAAATAAAATATTATATATAATACTACATCTTGTGTATTTGATTATAGGTATAGAATTACTGACAGGCTTCTGGTAGGTCTAGACCCCCCAGTTCCCAACTTGGTGTGTTTTCACCTCCTGGGGGTGTGGGACTAGGGTGTCAGGGGTGTGGACAACTGGTGTAGGAGAAGAATTTATTTTGAATTAAGAGAGCACCTCTCATCAAGGCATTATGCTGGAAATGTGGATGAAATAAATATTTGGGGGTGTGAAAGGATGAGGTGATTGCTCCAGGGGTGTAAAGGCTGAGAAAGGTTGGGAACTACTGCTAGACTGCTGGGGTTTAGCAGGGCTTTGTAAAAAGACATTGGAGTCCATAGGCACCGTTATCCTCAGAGCTTGCAAAGAAGAACAAGAACATAGAAAATATCTTTTAACCCATGAGTTTGATATACCAGGAACTCATTAGCCAGGAAAGAAGAAAAATAATGGACCACAGATATATACGCCCACCACGGCATGCGGATGGTAAATATTCAAGATTTTGGGGCAAGGGCAATAACTTTGATTTTTAGATCAATTGATGTTTATAGAAGCACTTACTGTATAGAGGTTAAAGGGCGATAACCCCTCAAAACTGACGCCTATATCTTGAAAAAGCCTTAAATTTAATAAGAAGTAAACTAAACTTTCTCAAACCTTTCGATTTAGGTCCAATAACATCCATTTTAAGTTTCATCAAATTCGGTTGAACACTAAGAGAGTATTAGCATTTTCAAGATTTTGGGGCAAGGGCAATAACTCTGCTTCTAACGGTCGAAAATAGCTCAAATTCGAAACTTGATCTTCGTTTTATGAATGTGTATACACATACTGAATTTCTAGTTTTTATAGCGTTTACACGCAAATTTTGACGGACGGCCGGGAGTCCAACATAAAATCACAAATTATTAGCAATTAGATTTTTTTATTCTGTACAATAAAGATAGATTTTGAAAGAAAAAATAACAAAAACAAGAATGTAAACATTTTCAAATTAAATCTATCTGCAGTGCTAATCCATCAGAATCTGTTATCATGGTGGAGTTTGGACAGATCTTTGCATTTAGGAAGGGCTTGGGAGACTTTGCCACAAATGTCATAAATTTGGATTCAACAGCTCTGATTTAAAATCCCTTGCTTCTTGCATCTGCAGATGAATTTAAATTCAAAATATCAGAATGGCAGAAAATGTCATGACAATGGGCCTCATCAGACAGATCATTATTGGTTTAATGATAACTGTCGTCATGGAAACCCATTTAAAAAATGGCAATACAGAATATACAAACAGAAGATATTATTAACCAATGAAAAACAAGTTATAATACACTCATGGTCAGTTTATGAAAGACCATTCACCATGTTTAGCTCAAAGTACTGGAAAGAATATGTCATATGTGTATTAGGAATACTTATAGCTTCTATTGACACCATTCCAATTTTCAATCAGACGTCTGTAGTTCCTGCACTAAAACTAAGTGTTTGCTGATGTCACTAATCGCGACCGGCATTATGTGACACTTTTTTGGAATTGCAGGAACCATAGACGTCTGATCTAAAATTGGATTGGTGCAAATTGTTGCTATCAATGTACCTGATACATACAAAAAATTTAGAAAACTTCTTTACAATCCCTTTAATATGCATACAAAGCCTAGAAAACATTTTTGAAATAACATTAGAAGATAATTCATAAAAAAAAAAGAGATACCATAACCATTTTAATCTAATATCTCATGTTAGCTACCTGTGACACCGTCGAACTTGGCTGTGCATAATGTCTCGACAAATATACTAAATAAACATTATTAGCTATGTGAACTCTCTAAAAGGGATATACATAAGCTGATATAAGACTAGGTTCTTCTGTTATTGATACAACAGTTCGTTAAAGCTCATAGAAAAGTACCATGAAAAACAAAAAAAGTTTGGAACATTACAAAAATGATAATTTCCAAATTCCAAATAAAAACCCTTTCTCTAATATGACATTAACTAAAAATCTCCCATTTAGAAACACTACATAAGGTTTATATTCTTATGTTTCTATAATCAATATTTATATTTTATAAACAAACCCTTTATATAAACCTTAGTTGATTTTATATACTTGAAAAAATAGTACTAAGAGTCTGACTTAAATACAATGCTGTTAAACTCATGTAGAAAAAGAAAACAAAGAGCAATGCCAACCTATTCTATTAAAGGGAGATAAAAAAGATATGTTTCTGAGACTATGGTATGATTGGTTACAACCTTTTCTATTAAAGAGACAGATTCGTCATTTTCGCGGGGTAGCTAACAAAATTCGCGTTTCTGAGACTAATGGTATGATTGGTTACAAAGATAACGAACCTGTCACATTAAATGTAAAAGTTTATGTTTCATTTATTATATTGTTATGAATAAATTATGCTGTAAAATAAAGTAAGGGTAGATTGTTATATATGTTATATAATATACAAGATTATAAATGCCCAATTTTTTGCTTTTAAAGCAAAAATATTTCATGGTTCATTAAATGCAATAATTACTGACTATAAACAAGACAACTAAACATTTTTAATATGTCATAATTTTGAATCAAATTGGCATATCGTAACAAATTTCTGAAAATCAAGTAAAAATAAACAATAAACAACAAAGTAATAGTATAATGTATAAGTAATTAATATGCACATATGCAAATGAGTAATGATTTGCACCGGGTTTGTGTGATGGAATGACTCCTTTAAATTTTTATATTTGAATTTATGGCCATGGCAAGGAATGCAGCAAACTTTTCAGGGATTCAAAAAGGTTTCCTAGCTCTATATTTGTATCAGTTATTAACTTTTGACATCCTAAAAGGGATTGTAAAATATGCTTTTTCACATAAGGCCCTTTGATCTTTAGTGGAATTGTAGGAATCACAGACATCTGATTGAAAATTAGAACGATGTAAACAGATGCTATTAGTGTCCCCATACAAAAATTAGTAAAACTCTTTACAATCCCTTTAAGTCTTCTTCCATGATGTCTATGATTCCTGCAGATCAAAAAATATCCTGACTAGACTAGTACGTCACTATTACTAATACATGAAGACTGGAAACCCTTTTTATTCCCTTAAATCAAGAGATTCTATCAAATATATTAATTACAGTAAAACCCTCCAAGTAAGACCACCATAGGACTGTGGTATTTGGTCTTTTTACATAATGGACTTTAAACAGAGGTGGTCTTTTGAAGAGGTAAATAAATGCATAATATGTAATATTTTCTTTACCTGCTGATTAAACCCACTATATTTATAAGATGGCCTTATTAAAGAGGTAATGAAATACATGCATAAGGGATATGTTGATTAAATCTATATTGATAATAATTGTATAGAAGGATCTTTCTCCTACAGGGGGAGCCTCTATCATATATTAGACATATAATAATCTAATATCTACTATACCAGATTTTAAAGAAACTAAAATATTACATGATTAAATTTAAAGAGATTGTAAAGAATTTTAGGAATATTTTATGTGTATTGGGGACACTGACAGCATCAATTTGAACCATTCCAATTTTCAACCAGACGTCTGTGCTTCCTGAAATTCCACAATTCCAAAGAGTTTGATGCTGTCACTAATCGCAAAATATGCTTTATCACATAAGGCCTTTGCCATTAGTGACATCATCAAACACCTAGTTTTGGAATGGTACAAATTGACGCTATCAGTGTCCTCATACACATAATTTTTTTTAGAAAACCTCTTTACAGTTCCCTTTAATTTGATGAAAATTATATGAACCATGAAGTAAGCAGCAATATAAATATTGAGCAATGAAATGGTATTGACTATGTTATATTAAATTATATATATCAAGTAACCTTCAGCAATCTTTGTTATTGATTTGACTGTACTGTTAGTCTTCCTATAGCAAAAGTTGTGATTTTGATAATAATTTCTTTTTTGAATCAAAATTAGCTGTTTTTTTTAAATTTATCACACTTTAACTAAATGGCAAAACAATCTGATATCATCCAATAAATGTATGAAAAAGTTAACATTTTGAATCAACAACCCATTTGTGAACTTGAAATCATTCAATACTTAAGACTTACAAAGTTGGTCAAATAAAACTCAAAGCAAGTCATTTTGAATCAACATTCCTATTGTAGACTTGTAATCAATTAATAAATACCGCGGACCTATCTAGGTCCTTATTCTCGAAAAATAAACTAAGATTTTAAGAAATACAGTAATCTGATTGGATAATAAACACTATTTGAAACAGATTGACCAATCAGATGACTGGAATGCTAAAATCATTATAAGTTAAGTTTCGAGAATAAGACCCTGGGATGATTGACTATAATCCAATGCAACTTTCACTAAAAAAAACTAGAATTTTGCATCAGAATAAGAAAGCATTATCAACACAAAAGTAAAATAACAAAATATACACAATTGTGTGCACCATGAGATAAATCTTATTAATTTTTCAAGGGGCACCTTAAATATTTATCCCATTTATGGGTGCACCATAATTATGAAGAAATGATAGGTATATCAGGTATACTATGATATAGACCTCAACCAATCTACTGTCTATACAATGTGATACTATGTTTAATGTAATGATATTTGAACGATCAACAAGAAAAATATATCTCGAAATATATCATAAAAACAAATCCAATTAAAATACAGCTCTACATATTTTGTTTTCTTTACTTATAGTTATTGTAGTATACTTCAGTCAATCGTGATCTAACAACATTTATAAGAATCTTGTGTCAACAATTTAACCAATCAAACACTCTGTTCTTTTAACATAATTACTTCATTGATTTGTGCTGTGATGCACTTCTAACAGAGCTTTTGATTGGTAAGTACAAATTACACTAAGTTGAACATGATTTTAAAAATGAATGCTGTCAGATCTTGAAAGAGTGAAGTAACCCACAGAAAAAAAATCAAAACCAAAATTTCAGAGTTGTATTTAAATCATTGCACCAAAGAACGCCAACAAAAAAATTAACAAAAAAAGAAAATAAATGCTCCCAAACGGATTCTCAGTCTTTACAGTAATTTTAAATTAATATAAAAAATATTGCAACAATCAAATTGCTAAATAAGAAAAGAAATCAAAGCATAATACTACAGATTCTAAGCTTAGATGACTACACGTGGCATCAGACTTCTATTGCAGCGAGGAGGAGTCGAATCTATGGCACCAAACACCATTATAAAGTCAAAGTTCAGATAATAGAACTCTATTATTTTAAGGAACAAAAATATTAAATATTAAGCTTACTTTAATAGCTTTGTATATATCAAGGTTTCAGGAATCTACCGTGTCTTGACGGGGATTTGAATCTATAATCTTTTATTAAAGCAAATCTGTTAACAAAAGGCTTAAAATATTCATTGATAATTTCAACTTAACACTACCTTTTGATAATTTTCAAATATGACAGACAAAATAAAAGGTTATTATGTTTAAGCAGAGCTGAATTAGAGCTGAATTAGAGCTGAATTAGAGCTGAATTAGAGCTGAATAATGGATTCTATAATATTCTTAATCATAATCATAATTGACAAAATTAAAATTCTTCTTTTTCAAAAATGAACCCTGCCTCTATCAGTGTTTCTGTGAGGTACTTACAGTTTTGAATTATCAGAAAAACTTCATTATTAGTTAGCTTAAATTATGGTTTAATCAATGTGAGATTACTGAACCTGTTACATCTTAGTCTTTCTTTAAGTTATTATCAGTAAAACTGAACCCTGCCTGTGTCTATCAGTGTTTCTGTATAGTGCTAGTTATTTTAAAATATCGGACAAACTTAAAGACAAGGCTTAGAATGAGGTTCCAAACATTTTGTGCGATTTGAGAACGAGCTATTAGAACTCTCCATAATACCACTATAACACACGTATTAAACATATAGCGTATATTCCTTAATCTGAAAAAAAAAATAAACATTTTGTTCAAAGCACATTTAACATCAGATCAATAATAACAAACACAAGACAATATTATAGAATAAACACAATTCTTGAATAAAATATTAAACATATAATATAACACAAATTACAGATGAAATAATGAGAGAATAAAACATAAAATATATTATTTTATCTGATGATGACACACGTAAAATTGTATTAAAGATGTATGTTTATTCTCTAATATTCTCTTGTGTTTGTGATATCTACTCCTCACTTCTAAATGTTGTCTTGGAAAAAATAATATCTTTGTCCTGGTTAGAGGTTTGTTTACAATAGGTTTCTTATCCATGTGTATCCAAAATTATCAACGTTTGAAAGTTACATGACGACTTGTCTTTTCTATAGACTCTAACATGCATAGAAACCTTGTCAACTAGACGTACAATATTCAGACAGGGGAGAAACTATTGAAGATAGAAAAAGAAAGTGAAATGCCTAGTTCGAGGTAAATTCAAAGTAAGTTCAATTACATTTTTAGACAATGACTTACTTTTTTATATGAGCTCTAGCAGCTGGTAACGCATTCATATCCTCATTTAAAACATAATGTTTAGCTCCAAAACAAAACTTCTCTAGATAGGTTGGCCAGTGAATCTGTCGTGGATCAAAATAAAATGTCTGAAAGAGAATGATTATTATCATTATTATATTTGTGTAGACAGCCTTAGATCATTTAGTGCTTGAATCTTAATGTGGGTTGAAAACCTGGTCGGCATGTGATAGTCTGATAACCTTGATTAATAAGTCATCTTTCCTCATAATTCCAATCACCCACCTGTAAATGGGTACAGATAATCAGGGAAAGATCAATGACAAGAGGTTTGACCAAGGATCAGCTGGTAGAAAGGATCCTCGTGAACCCAAGTTGTTATCCATGCTAATACATTACCATGAGGTTTTGCCAAGGACCAGCTGGTAGAAATAATCCTCGTCAATCTAAGTTATCATCCTTGTAAAATCAATGCCAAGAGGTTTGGTTAAGGAACAGCTGGTACAAGGGATCCTTTGTGAACCTAAGTTGTTATCCATGCTAATTCATTAACAAGAGGTTTGGTTAAGGATCAGCTCATAGACAGGATCTTGGAGAACCTATTATTTTATCCTTTTAAAATCTGGTTTTTCCTTTTTGTCTTTCTAACATTCACTTGGTTTTCCCATTAATGTCAATAGAGGTAATAATCTTAGTTCTTGAAACTTGTATCTACTTTTTGGAAAACAGCCCAATTTTTCAAATCTTATTATCATAAAACAGTAATACTGCTTTTAGACTAAAATATCATTATCTGGGTGTGTAGCTAGGGAGGGGAGGTAGGGAAATAACTGGTGGAGTTTTGAATGAACATTACCTTTTTGTCTGCGTCTGATAAAACATGACGTAGTAAATCGTGGTTTCCACTGGTCCATTCCCAGGAATGTGTGGTAAAAAACGATAATATCTCCATTGATCGGTGTAGTTTATTATATGTTCTTACCATTCTGAAATCAGAGTCAGTTTTGAAAAATTGGAATTGCAGGAACCACAGATGTATGATTGAAAAATAAAATGGTGCAAATTTATGCTATCAGTGTCCCTGATTTACAATCCTACTAAAACAATGAAATAAGCTTGTCAATTTTTTTCAGTCAACTCCCTAACTGTCTTTTAAGGGTAACAGAAAAATTACTGCGTTCTATCTTGAAAAGAGTTTTATAAGAATATCAACTTACCTTGGTTTTTTGCCCATCAGTCTGTAACCGAAATCAGCGAGATACGCTGGTATCATGTGACTTACAAACACCCAATAATCATGTAGCATTCTATAAATAGATATTTAAATTAATCAGGGAAGGGGTATTTATAGTTTCCATTTCCAATTTTTCAGATTTCCAGATCCATTCCGTGGTTTCTGTTAACTCCAGATACTAATGTCTCCTTCACAAAAATCATTTTTAACAATGACATCAGAATCAGGGCTATGAAGACTGAATAATGAATAGAGAGAACTGGATGAACATTTTCATTCGTAACTGTGAATCATAAACATTTCCCAAGATTATTCTTTTTTCGCTCAAAGCTCTGGAATTCTAATCCAAAATTTCATTTATTTCTGATGTCCAGAAACAATGTATGATAGAGGTAACAAATTAGTGAACAGGTAAAAGCTGGTTACATAATTTTCGTAACAAAATAAAAACTTACTCATTAGAAGTAAATGTGGTATAGGGACGTCGAAATGATCCTTCTAGTGGCGTCTTTTTAAAATAATCCATTATTCCAACCTCTATAAATATAGACATTATAAATTATTAATTACATACTGCTGAATTGAACTCTACGTTAGTACAATGGGTGAACTAACACTGAATGAATGGGTTAGTTAAAAAGATTTTAAAGAGATTTTCTAAATTTGTTATGTGTATCAGATAACTGATAACGTCAAATTGCCCCATTTCTAATTTTCAATCAGACGTCAGCTGTGATCCCTGCAATTCTACAAAAATAAGCATTTGATAACATCACTGATCGCAAAATATGTTTGTATTACATAAGGTCTTTCACGATTAGTGACATCATCAAACACTTAGTTTTAGTGGAATTACAGGAATCACAGACGTGTGACTGACTGATAATATCAGTTGCTATATCATCTAGAATATACTTACGAAAGTCTCCCCATGTTAAAGGATTGACAGCCCCGGAGGTACAGTTATATACTAGAGATTCTTTAGGTTTATATACAGCAGTATACCACCCTACTACTATCATTATATTAGTTGGTATATCAACTGGTACTAGATCAGCTACTGCTTTAAAATCACCCTTCATAGACCGTAATAAACCCTTCCCAGACTGAAATATAGAAACATTTTAGTAATTATAGACTAGTTCATTTTAAGAGAGGGGATGAAATGAAATGAAATGAATTTTATGTCCTACTTTTCTGCACCATGTGGGCTAATGAAGATGGAATTTTAGGGGGATGAGGGTGCGATGGGATGGGGGCAAAGTAATATAAGATAGAAATGACAGAAAATGTTAACATTTCGTGTTTATGCACACTCACAATCTTGTTAACATTATGGTATTTTGTCTGACATGAGTTACATGCCTGTGCCTGTGTTTTCTTAAAGATTGATTTACAGTAATTTTACACCCTGAAATCTTACTAATAACTTATTGTAAGTGACCATGGATGGGTACACAGAGAAGTTGCAAATTTACAGATTTAGATGAATATCACTAAATAGACTACATACTTTATTAGACAAAGAAAACCAAAGAAAATGAACTTACAGCAATACATAGACCACTGGCACCATTAAAATTATCTATCCAACCCTGAAAATATATGTTTTATATTTTAGAAATATCAAAACAGAACATGAATCACGTTGTTACTCAGAGAATCATAGAATCAACCGGACGTTCAATAAAACAAGTTGGAACAGAGTTCAGAACGTGTTTTGTGGGTTCGGAAAAAATAGCAGACGCAGACAGAATTCAAAATGGCAGAAAATTTTGAATGTGATAAATTTGCTTAGAAACCCTTAGATTGAGATCAGAATTGGAAATGATGGAAACTGTTCAGAACTCTCCACACCTAAATTGACTTCCACAATATTCATTTAATAAGTCCCATCATTCTAATAACCTTTTTTATCACTCTCATCCTCCTCATACATAACTCTTGTCTTACATAACTCATTTCAGACCACAATTACATCACCAGCAGACACTATTTACAATATTACAAATAGACAAATATCAAACCTGTATTGGTTCTTTCCAAGCAGCACCCACTATAGACGGTCTAATAATCGCTACCGGTAACCCTGCACCTTCCATTTTATATATTGCCTCAGCCAGCTGTTTTGTGAATGTATAAGTATTCGGATGACTGCCTAGTAATTTTGGTGTGACTGATTCTACCATATCATCTGTCATCCATCTAAAATTTATATAAAAAAAAATAACCCAAAATTTTTTCAAGTTTTCAGCCAACCTTTATCCAACTATAACCGCCATAGGGTAACAGTTTATTGCTAATATTTACGTTCTCAAGACATGTCAATTTAAATAGGGATTCTAATTAGAATTTAGTATCAATTAAAGTAGGGACTATTTTTACATTGTGCGACTTCTGACACGTTTATGTAAAATTTTCCAGCCAATCTTTCTCCTGATATAGGACCGGGAGCCGCAGTGGCAAAACGAGTTTGGCGCTTGCTCGCTTACCTTGAGATCCAGGGTTTAATCCTTCGGATTTTTCGGACAATAAACTGAGGCCCAGTGTTTCCCTCATTGTACCCTGCATGGCGTTGCCCATCTTCATTGGCTCACATGCTGCAGAAAATTAGGACGCAAACCTCCATTCATTTCATTTCATATACGACCATAATGGCCATAGGGTATCAGTTTATTGCTTATATAAAGCTCCGAGGAGTCTTGATATGTGAAAAGTCAACTTACTCGAGAGCGTCTATAAGTTTCTGTGGAGCTATATGAGGTTCATAAATAGTTTCTTCTATATACGGTCTATCACAGTTACAATAGGCTGTAGATACATGTACTAGAGCCTGCAAGACAAATATAATATTGTACTAAAAAAATTCCTTTTAACCCCACAAATTCTGGAATTTTTACTTTTTTCGCCCAAATAATTTCCTATCCATATTGATTTCTCCCACTTGCTCTAAATTTCCATTCGCTCTGTATTATATAATTTGCCATGGATTTTTCCTATGTTTTGGATTTGTTTTCCGAAATTCTCTGCCTTAGTTCCCTAACCCTAGAACTGTATTTGGACTGTGTTGTATTTAATTGTCAAAACAAAATCTCATTAACAAACCTGACTAATCAAGGTTAATAATAATATTGCCTACTTTATTCATTTCTCAATTTGCTCCAAACTTATTACCTACATACTCTATATCCACTCTCAACAGCCCCTGCCCCCCTCCCATCACCTTCCCATGTACCCACCAACCACAATAAGGTTCTAATATAACCATACAAACAGGATCTAATAAATCATCGTAATTTAGTTATCGTAATGCCTACTTCATATCTTTCTTTGTAAAGGTCTCATTTGCTCACGAATATTTTCAACCTGTAGAGGACTACCACCCCCTCCATCATTTGCTTCAAAATATCATCATACTATCAACATCTAATTAACAAATCATACTAATTAAGGATAATTATAATAATGACTAATTACCAGTAATGATTTAAACTGTTGACATAGTTTGATAATTTTTCTGACTGGTAACACATTCAACTCTACAGCAGTACTGTAATATATAAAAATCAACATTGGTCTACTAGTGTAATGATATAATAGATTGTAATGGTGTATCACTCTATGTTGTTAATAATAGAAGAAGTAAGAAGACACCTATTAAGAGTGACTAAAGTATTTTATTCTATGAGCTTTTGTCGTCGTCAAGACGAAAGTGAAATGGTGTTTTATGTCTTGTGAATGTCCTGTTTTATGCAAGAACTAATGTCTGGCTGAAAATTAGAATGGTGCAAATTGATGCTATCAGTGTCCCAGATACACATAAAATTTTTTGAAAACCTCTTTACAATCCCTCTCACAGAAGTTCATTTTAATGGAATTAATTGAAACTATGTCCAAAAACTATTAACTTATTTTACTGACTCCAGACATTTAACACAAAAAATAAATGTATATAAGGCTATAAGCCAGAAAGTCTATAAACTTGAAACAAACCCATGACATTATAACAATGGACAGCAATTGATATAAATATTAACAAAGAAGTTGATATATTTAATAAATACCATCAACATAGGCACAGTTAGTAAAGCAATAAACTGTTACCCTATGGCGGTTGTGGTTGTACCAGTATATCAGGACAAAAATGGCTGGAAAATTTAATAAATGAGCATTTAAGAATAATTTTCCAGCCAACCATAACTGCCATAGGGTAACAGTTTATTGTTTATATTTACATTTTCAAGATATTTTAATTTTGATACACAGATTTTAGTATGAATTTAAGTAGGGCCTATTTCTTTACGTTTCAACATGATTGTTAACATTGGAGACCGTCTATTTGATACAATGACGTCTTTGAATAACGACGTCATTGGTTAAAATTACTACGTCTAATGTTTTGGTGATGAGGCAATGGCATTTATTGTGATATAAACGCCACACGAATTTGTATTAGTCTAATGGAAAATATAATAGCTAATGTAAATATTTAGTAATATTAAAATCACGTTAAATCTTGTCATATTACATTGTGTTATCAATCCGAACTTATATACAGAACTAAATATTATCATTCCAAAGCAATTGATACAAATATTTATAATGAATTTAATATATTTATTAAATATAATCAGAGTTTGATTGGTCACAATTAATTGCCAACAAACAGTATTTCGAATATTACATTGAATTTTGTCATAATCACTGATCAATCTGGGGTAGCGCTCGGTAAAATGATCGAAATAATAATTTATAATCTTGATTATTATCAAATTTCATTTATAATCTATTTTATGTCAAAGTTACATTTTCTCCATTGTACCCGTTAACAAGTAGTAATCTCTTCTACATAGTTTACCTTCAGTACATAACATACCCACAATAAACTATAATAACAGATCAAAGCAAGAATATACTTCTATAACACATAACATACCCACAATAAACCATAATAACAGATCAAAGCAAGAATATACTTCTATAACACATAACATACCCACAATAAACTATAATAACTGATCAAAGCAAGAATATACTTCTATAACACATAACATACCCACAATATACCATAATAACAGATCAAAGCAAGAATATACTTCTATAACACATAACATACCCACAATAAACTATAATAACTGATCAAAGCAAGAATATACTTCTATAACACATAACATACCCACAATAAACTATAATAACAGATCAAAGCAAGAATATACTTCTATAACACAAAACATACCCACAATAAACTATAATAACTGATCAAAGCAAGAATATACTTCTATAACACATAACATACCCACAATAAACTATAATAACTGATCAAAGCAAGAATATACTTCTATAACACATAACATACCCACAGTAAACTATAATAACTGATCAAAGCAAGAATATACTTCTATAACACATAACATACCCACAATAAACTATAATAACAGATCAAAGAAAGAATATACTTCTATAACACATAACATACCCACAATAAACTATAATAACTGATCAAAGCAAGAATATACTTCTATAACACATAACATACCCACAGTAAACTATAATAACAGATCAAAGCAAGAATATACTGTAGTTTCTATGACGCAAAAATAACTCATGAAATTAAGATATTTGCTCATATTTATTGGTCTGGCTTATTAACAAACTATTTAAATACAATTATTATTTCATTTCATGATTAACGGAATGTCAGCTATAAGCTGTCTGATGGTAAAAAACATTTTAAAAAACAACAAACAACAAACAACATAATTTCGACCGAAACTGCTCGTACATGGGGGCCGTCATTTTTATATGGCAAGGCGTAAATACATGAGATTATGACATCGAGTCTTTGATAGAAATTCAAACCAAGCATGTAATGTATGGTATGGACCGGTAATATCATTGAATCAGGTCTCTTAATAATTGGTCTTAAAAGCATAAATTAATCTGATGACGCCCACTACCAGTTGTGTAATTGATAAGAAACATGTAAGAATTGTGATTTCAATGGGTTCATTAGAACCATAATGTTCCGACAGAAAATATCAAACTGAAATAAACTTACCGTAAATGTTCATCAAATTTAATAGTAGCAGCACTGTGAAAGACGATATGTACATCATTAATTAAGAGTTGTCTGTCCTCGTTCGACAGTCCGAATTCAGGTAAGATTATATCGCCCTCTATTGGCTGGATTTTCTCTTCAAAATTCGGCTGGTCTTTACGTAATTTGTCAAACAACTGAAATATAGACGAACATTCGTTAAGATTGTATATTCTTAATCACACTTATATTGGTTTTCTTCATCTTGAAGGGATTATAAAAACGTTTTCTAAGTTTTTGTAGGTGTAACACTTATAGAATCAATCCATTCAGGTATTTTAGAAATACTGATAGTTTCAATTTGGGGCCCTCCTTCAGTCCAGCGACATAATTAATAATCAAAACACACCACTTTCAATGTAACATGTAAAATATACAGGCTTAAAGGATTTCAATTTCATAGTTGTTTTATTAATTATGATGGTTTGATGCAGGTAATTATAATTTGATATGTCAACAAAACTTAAATTTATATTTATTTAACACAAAACAAACAAAAAACAACATGACTGGCTTTTTCAATCATTCGCCTACGTCAGTGACTTTCCATTGGGAATCAATTATAAGCATTGTTTGACTTTCAACGACCACTAAACAATTGTCGGCATCAATCTGAACATCACTATGCAATGGTGCTCAATTCCTTGAATATGTAGTTTAAAACTTTACCTTCGATGACAGGAGATCATGAATTCTCTCATGAATATCTTGGCATCGTTTTTTTCGTGTTAACACATACACAGTTCCTAGTCCTGGACACGACCGTAAGATTTTTTCTATGAGAACTTTTCCTAAAAATCCCGTTCCCCCAGTCACAAATAAATTCTTTCCTGCATAAAATTCGCTGATAGGACTGTCCGAGTTATTATCTACTCTTGCTCCGTATAAATTTTCCTCCATGCTGTTTTTTAAATTTTAATATTTCCCTCTTCTGAAAAAAATAAATATCAAGATAAGCTTATAGGAATAAAACATAATAATTACAAAATTCAAAATTAAAGTTAAAACATAAAAATTCTACAAAAGAAAGACACAACACAAATTATAATCAGATTCTATGAAATTTCACTTAATAACTAAAAAAAAATAATCAAGTTACTACGTCAAGTTATTTGGTCCTTGAATATTAGTATTATGAAAAATAGAAAATAAAATAGAATCTTGAATGCTGCAGTAAGCAAGTCCACTAGCAATTGATTTCATAACATAGTCAATTGTAACATAAACTAAACTAATATCAAAGTTATTTTATGACCTAAGAATTGTGCAACTGCAAATAAAAAAAGAAAACATTCAAATAGCAAGGTATTAATAGAGTAACCTTTTACAGGTGCCAACAATATCATTAGATATCTTCTACCATTTTACATGTAGACATTATCACTTGAATAGAGCAGTCCTTAAAGGGACTGTTGACCAATCATACCTTAGAGTCAAAAAAGGTAATTTTTTAGCAAATCTAATTAGTGAAAGTGTTCACAGGTCACTGTGTGTCTTCAAATCGCCAACTGCTGACCAATTGTACATAGTCTTTTTTCATAATATGTTTAGTTTTTTAAGTAATAGTGTTCACAACTCATAAATAGAAATAATAGAATGTGAAATTTCTAGTACCGTACTTTTAGTTTGAAGATTTTTTGAAGGAATTAAAACTTGTTACTTTTCCACGAAGGCACTGGCTGATATACTGCATTTATGTCATGTATATATTAATGTTCGGGGGCTTGCTGGGAGCCACTAGATTCTCGATGACCGCTAACAACCTCAGTATACAGACAACTGAAAAATCCCAGTTCTCAACAGTTTGTTCTTATCATGTCCAAGCAAAATTTAAATTTTGTCATCACACTGTGCTGCCAATATCTACAAGAATTCAGTTGATCACAGTTATTAGTAGTTTCTACCAATTACCTGAAAATAGTACATAGCGCATGTCCACAACAGCCATTAAATGCTTGAAGTCTATTATATACAGCAATATTTGAATATTACCTATTGGCAGGTGTTGTTAGAATGTTTTAAACAGAGTTTATTATCAATCAATAATCCTATATAAACCAGTAACTTCATTTTTCATACAAATACACTGAATAACATAGATTTCATCTACTGGGGATTTTATTCATTCAAAGAGCTTTTATTCTCATTTAAATACAGATTGTACTATATTGAACTGATAAATCGGTTTTTGCATTAAAAATGGGTTTCCTTATCTTTTAGTGTCAAATTAAGCAAACTATGTGATTGATTCAATGGTGTTAGGGTGTATTGAGACAGGTCTCAATGAAAGCACTGGCCTAGGTCACAGAGCAATAGGTTTTTGCATTAAAAATGGGTTTCCTTATCTTTTAGTGTCAAATTAAGCAAACTATGTGATTGATTCAATGGTGTTAAGATGTATTGAGTCGAGTCTCAATGAAAGCACTGGCCTAGGTCACAGGTCTATTAATTATGTGAAAATTAGTTAGTCATTATTGGTGTTTCTAATGAATTATCATGTATTCTTAATCATATCATTATGTTCTTATTGCATATGATTTAAAATTTTAACCGATCATAAATGTCCATGTGTGGATAACCAAAAAAAAAGAAGACTTTTTGACCTTTCTTAATCAGTTACTCATTGGAATTCTGCCAAGTCATTAGAAGACCTCTACTTTCTATTTATATAAGTATTAGCATTTTCATTTTCATAAATGAAAATAAGGGAACCCATCTTTAAGCAGTGAATGATGTATTAGTACTGTAAGAACATTATTTATTATGTGAACTCTCGGATGGGGATGGAGGGGGATTTAAAGGGGGAACATTAGCTTAGCTAGCAACAACCACCATAAAAAAAATCACTCACTTAGATACATTTCTGTATTTGTTAAAATCTACTAAGGTATTATATCTTTTTCTAAAATATAACAGCTTATAGAAAACAATAATATACTATGTGGACTCTCTGAAAGGGTTGCTTGGGGTTCCACAAGAGTTGCCCAAGCAAAGCACACTTTAAAGAAAATTAAATACAGTATTTCTATATCCGTTAACAATCTACTCAGGTATTTAATTTAGAGATTTATCATATCAAACTTTTTTATCTAGAATACGTTGACAGTTAGAGATAACAACTTATAGAAAAAAACACGTGACCTACTCAGTTGTACCTTTAGTAGAATAAAAACTTTATGGCAGCTATCAAACACTTTCATAGACAGTGGAAATTTCCTGTTTAATAACATAGAAACTTTATGTCACTGTTCAACTTGGTTGGAAGGTAGATGACAAGTTAACGTTCGCTTCCAGCGGATGCTGATATCACAGAGTAGGTAGTTGTTAGTAGATGACAAGTTAACGTTCGCTTCCAGCGGATACTGATATCGCAGACTAGGTAGTTGTTGGTAGATGACAAGTTAACGTTCGCTTCCAGCGGATGCTGATATCACAGACTAGGTAGTTGTTGGTAGATGACAAGTTAACGTTCGCTTCCAGCGGATGCTGATATCACAGACTAGGTAGTTGTTGGTAGATGACAAGTTAACGTTCGCTTCCAGCGGATGCTGATATCACAGAGTAGGTAGTTGTTAGTAGATGACAAGTTAACGTTCGCATCCAGCGGATGCTGATATCGCAAACTAGGTTGTTGTTGGTAGTTGGATTGGTTTACTGTTCAACCAACTACTCTAGCCTTATATTGAGAGTGATCGCAAACTAGGTTGTTGTTGGTAGTTGGATTGGTTCAACTGTTCAACCAACCACACTAGCCTTATATTGAGAGTGATCGCAAACTAGGTTGTTGTTGGTAGTTGGATTGGTTCAACTGTTCAACCAACCACTCTAGCCTTATATTAAGAGTGATCGCAAACTAGGTTGTTGTTGGTAGTTGGATTGGTTTACTGTTCAACCAACTACTCTAGCCTTATTTATATTGAGAGTGATCGCAAACTAGGTTGTTATTGATAGTTGGATTGGTTCATTGTTCAACCAACCACTCTAGCCTTATATTGAGAGTGATCGCAAACTAGGTTGTTGTTGGTAGTTGGATTGGTTCAACTGTTCAACCAACCACTCTAGCCTTATATTAAGAGTGATCGCAAACTAGGTTGTTGTTGGTAGTTGGATTGGTTTACTGTTCAACCAACTACTCTAGCCTTATATTGAGAGTGATCGCAAACTAGGTTGTTATTGGTAGTTGGATTGGTTCACTGTTCAACCAACTACTCTAGCCTTATATTGAGAGTGATCGCAAACTAGGTTGTTGTTGGTAGTTGGATTGGTTTACTGTTCAACCAACTACTCTAGCCTTATATTGAGAGTGAGGTGTCAAAATGTCTCTCCTGTCCCCTAACCTACTCAGCTGACAACTGTACCTTCATTTTACCAGAACAGAAACTTTATGGCTGTTTTTAACCTTCCCTAATCATTATAGCGTGTGAGATGTAGAAATGTTCTAAACAAGCTGTTACCTCTTCAATGAAAAGCCTGAATAAATCAATTAGACATATATCAGGACAGGCTGATCACATGACACCAGCTGTTATCACCCTCATATACAAGGGCACAGGCTGGTTGGGTAAACAGTAGGGTGGAAGTAAGCGGGTGGGGTTGAGGTCAAGAAGGGGTTCAATTCCTAGATTGCACAAATTAAGGGCAATTGACATTGTGATGCCCAAAAATCAAGGAAAACTAAAATAAAATGCCCCTAATTCGCCTTATTGACAGAAACTTACATAAAACAAAAAATCCAAATTCCAGATAAATTGACAGAAAATGTCCAAAATCAATGGAATTCACTGTAAAATATAAGCTACTTCAATATGGAAAATGGTAAAAAAAAAGAACATTTCTATCTTCAAAATCTAATAAAGCTAAATATGAATTAATTATGGACATGTAAGACAAACTGGTATTTTTTCAAGTCATTAGAACACCTCTACTTTCTATTCATATAAGTATTAGCATTTTCATTTTGATCAATGAAAATAGGGAACCAATCTTTAAGTCTGCTAACATATTTATTGAAAAGTCTTCTGAGTGTGATTTTAATTCCTAAATGTAATTCAAGGATCTGAACAAATAAGGAATAAACTTCAACAGAAAATTTGGAGGAAGATTTGTATATGTTACGGTAATGAATAAATAATAATTGACAACTATCTCACATTCTTTTCCTTATTCATTTAATTTTGACTGCGATATAAAGAAAGGAAGATATAAAGAACTATATTTTACAATGTAACATCTTAGGTTCACAGTTAAGGATCCTTTCTACCAGCTGGTCCTTGGCCAAACCTCTTGGCATTGATCTTTCCTGGATTATCCATACCCATTTCCAGCTGGGTCGACTGGAAATGTGAGTGAAGACGACTTATTTACGGTCATAGGACTTTCACACGCCAATCGAGATCAGTACCCACAGCCGCCATTTGCTGAACGTAACCAAGCAAATGACGTCAAAGAACCAACGCTCTAACCGACTGTGCTATAGAACCTCACAAATGTGAAAAAAGCCTCCATTTTTGACATAATATAATCTCAATCATTAACTTAATAATATTATATAACTTACATGGATATATTTTCAAAGATTTATTGAATTAAAAAATATCGTATGATTGTAGACCTATCCTTTATATCGTATCATGTTAAAGGGACAAGTTTGCCATCCGTTTGATCAAATGTATCTTAGTTTCACAACCAGGAATTTTTTTTAGCTGAGCCAATCAGTAATAGTGTTCTCAGATCACTGTCGAAATTTGAGCCTTCAAAACCATGTGTGTCAAGAATTATCTGCGTTTGAATATCAATTCAAGATGACGACTCATCATTTCTTGAGACCTCTACAATTTGAACTTATATCTAGGAATAAAATTACATGCAATAGCAAGAAAATGGCAAGTAACAAGATGAACTGAAACATCAGTCATTACACTGTTTAGGACATTAAAGATTGTTTTCGCATTTTTTAGAGTAAATTAAAGCAAATAAGGCCTATTTGATTATTGATGTTAATAATGAATTATCCATGTATTCTTAAACAATTATATGAAATTAAATGAACCCATCTTTAAATTAATGATGATGGATGATGGGCATTTTACAGTTTTCACAGTTTATCACTTTAGTTCCAAAAGGGCTGAACAAGGCAATTATAAGAAAATTGATAGGCAGCACTTCCACTGTCATTTCTATACATGATGTAAGAGACTACTAATTTCCTAATTAGTGCTAGTAGTCTCCATTAACAACAAAACAAATTAAGAATCCATACAAAAAATGTGACAAAATTGGAAATATTTCTGCTTTCTGAAATTTCTATAGATCTGATTGTGATGACAACTACATAAAATTGAATATAAGCAAAGATGTATTACCATAAAGTAGATCAGGTTTGTTTATTCCAAAATGTCAATAAAAACTGTACATGAAAGGGGGTTCTCTAGCACTATCAGGAACATGTCATCAACTAGCCAAACCGGGTGCGTGACTTCTGATTGGTCAAGGCCAAGGCCGAGCCGCCATTTTGTGATACGTCAGCTATTCCGGAAATTGATGAACCCCTTTTTCCTAATCTAAGATTTTGTTCATTTTTACATAATTTTCATTCGAAATTGAATCCAAGAAATAATTTCAACTAAATGCTGAAATACTACGAAAATCGGCCTTAATCTAGATTTTCCCATGAGGCACTTTCCAAGATGTCAGCCTCCATAAATTGATAACAAATTGGTAAAAACATAAATTTCTCTCGAAATTATATTAAAATGACCAAATTAGCTCTTAAAAGATTTTGGTGATGTCTGGCAAAAAGCTTAACAAGTCTCAAAATTAACAATTTTCATATTCTGAGAATTAAACGAATGCGAAACCTCTTACCTGCTTTTCACTTTGTTTTTGTTGCCGTATTTGTTCCGAATATGGCAATAAGCTTATGATATTCGACCACAGTAAACATCAATGTTGGGTGTTATAGAAGATACTATCCTGTAGAAGGTCACAAGAAGAGAACATACTTCTTTCATGTATGAGTATGGGTAATAGGCCTAAAGCATAGCCATTAGGCATATAGACCTAATAAAGATTAAAATCAAAGTAGCCGCCTATTCTCAAAGCAATCCTAGCGCTGGATGTCGGAAGGTCATAGCTTTTGACACTGTTTCCTACACTATGTCCCCTTTTATCTAATTTCCTTGATGTATTTTTGTTTCAGATATTGACTGATATTTGTAGAAAAGATGGATGAGGATGATGATTTTGGAGATTTCGGAGGGTTTGAAGTAAGTTTCTGTTTTTCTGTTGATTATCATTATGATATTCTAGTTAAAAATTGCTGATAAGATCTCTTGCTTGAAGTGGGAGTGCATGCTGATTGCCATGGTATATTTTGAAGTATGTATTGTGATGATTTTGTGGTTCTAAGTGTGACAATAAATTAGCACCACGGAAAGTAGTATGCCTTAAGAAAGAAAACATTAAGGTCAATTCTTGAAAACTTTATTTCAACTGAATACAATGTAGTGTGCATTTGAGAATGGTTGGTTCTGGTTGATGTTCTATGTACACCACAATAAATATTACCAGTAGAAAGACGCGATTGAATTTATCAGTAAAAAAAGAAAAATTTGAATCAGATAATTTTCAAATCGTTTAAAGTTCATTTGATGAGATCCACTATATCATTATAATGCTTAAGTATTTTGTTAACTGGGCACTTTTTATAGAGATTTCTTTGTTTCTTGCAGGCAGCAGATCCTAATGAAAACCCACCAGAAGGAAATGTAGAAGCTGGTGCTTCCCCCTGGGCAGTATTCCCTCCAGGTAAATGTATTTTTTGGACGTAATGTTGACTAAACCAAGTCTTTATCTTCAAAGCTGCTAAATGAATGGCCCTTTGACAGTTGGAAATCATGAAAGAGTAGACTAATGCAGACCCTAACTGAAGTGGCTATATTAAAAATAAAAGCTAATTAAAATAAAAAGGAAGGAAAGTTCAATTTAATTTAAATAAACTAATACTAATAATGCTATCTTAACAAAAATTTTCCCTTGTAAAATTGTATGCCATTGCCTTGCTCATTACCTCAATTAGGTAATGTGCCCTGTTTCACGAAAAGTTTTTGTTGATTTTTCAACTCGGTTGCTTCCTGTTAGTGATGTAGGTAAGAGGAAAAAGTGTTAAGATGTTCAAATGGGACAAAAACCACAGCCCCTTGCGCTACAGACTGTGCACGTTAAAGATCCCTCAACAGTTGGAAATCAATAAAGAGCAGGCTAATGCCGCTGTCCTGGCAAAATGTCCCTCATTACACCCTGCGTAGTGTTGCCCGTCTTCATTAACCCACTTGATGCAGAAAAGTAGGACGTAAAACTCTATATATTTCATTTCATTTTATTTATTTCATAAAAATCTGATGATAAATCTTATCGAGAGTGTGGTATTTCTCAAGGTAAAGTTCCAAGGCCCTGAACAGTAGGATGGAAATCTCTCATTATAAATTATGATCGTTTATTTGAATTTCAGTGGTGGCCCAATCACAGCCAGATCTGTTATGTGCTCAGAATACGTTTCCCACTTACCTAGATCCCTCAGGTATTAACGGTGGTCCTGGTAATAATAATAATAATAATCATCAGAGACTTGATATAACAGCTTCAGCTACTGACAGACAGGATAGTCCTAGACATCATGTAAGTGGAAAATATTGTATTCAAAATTTCCCTCATTGCACAGGACAGTTGTGGAAATTGTGTTAGTGTAGAAGATTAAATTACGAACTTTCCTCATTGTACACTCCATTCATTGCTTGACTTGACTTCCCCATAGCGGATTTTAGAGGGCGCTAGTCATAGGAGCAGGAGAATACAGAGAATACACCTAACACGATTTTGGAAGTGAAAGTAGAACAAACTTTTCATTTTTTATGGCCTGAAGGTGGGTGGGGGGGATATAGGGGCCATGAGACAAGACCACCCCCCTCCTCTGCCATAAATATGCTACTGTCTATGACAGTGCCAAGCATTAACATTGCTATATGTTTTATAAGCCTAATGTCGTCTTAACTTATTCTCTTGATTATTCAGAATGACACTGATCCAGCGCGTCTGGCAGAAAATATTCTGGATGGAACGATACGAGCTGGTGTACCAGGACTAGATCTGACCCCAGGTCAACCTCCATCAAGGGCAGATAATCCAGCAGATATATTCTTAAATACTGATCAAGCCAGAGACAATACTCGTGTGTTGCCAGACCTTGGCGTTGGTGAAGGAGCAACGTTGCCAGATTTAGGTGTAGGTGAAGGACCGTCATTATTACCAAGGGGAGTTAATCAAATTGAAAGAGACTTAGAGTTAGCTGCCACTGTAAACTCTGTTATCCAGCCTGTTTTAAATGAGAGTGCTAGTATACCGGGAAGTAATGGCCACATAGCGCCGTCTGCCAGCGACAATATTTCGGTCGTATCAGAAGATGGAAGCAGAGAGATGGAATCCGCAGCAAATGAGGTATAAAATTTGTTTATCAACTTTAAAATGTCAAATTTCAACTGAAATTTCTGAGATCGAGAGAAAATCCAACCTTACGTTACAATTCTATGCACCCGAAAATAATCTGTAACAATAGTGGTAGAATTTTATTGTAAATATTTCTTTAATCTATATATATCCTGTCGCCCTAATTAATGATGCAAAGTGGCAAAGGAAAAGTTTCTAGTCATTTAGATTGGTAAAAAAAACACGCCCATGTGTCAACGATCCCTTGACAGATTGAAATAAAGAATTAAACTCGTTGCACTCAGTATGATATTCATACATGTGTAATCTACCGATGTCTCTTTCTCAGGAGATCCAGTCTTTACGAGCATTAAATTCTAAACTAGAAGAAGATTTGAACCGAACTAGAAATGAACTGCAACAACAACAAAAAAAGTTAGCAGAGATTGAGGTAAGACAATTTAATTAAAATTAGATTTCTTTTTCTATTATTCATCTTCAGTGACATCTGTCAAGTTTTTATCACAGTCTTGTTATAATTACATTATTTTTAAGCAATCAAAGCTTGTCATGTAAGACCTGTTTCTTGAAAACAAGGACAAATTGTGGAACAGGGAAACAGACAGAGACTGTCATATTGATTTACTTTTTGTTTCACGAACTCACAATATGTTATGTAATTTTTCTTAAAAAATTTCTTTTTCTGTCATTGCTTGACAACAAGTGCTGTATTTTTCTTCAGGATTAAATTTGCCATACATGCAACTCATTAATTTCGTAAATTCTGATAACTTGATTGTTTTTTTTAACAGGGTGGTCATTCCGAAGAAATGAAAAGTTTACGTCAAGCAGGACACGATACACTAGCTGTGGTTGTTGAACAGTATAAGGTTAGTTATCTTGCATCTTAAAAACTATTGTGTTTTGATCTTTAATAACCCTTTACTCCTAGTGCTGTTACTTTAGAATTTTCAGAGAAAAAATCTTATAGACAAAAAAATTTTTTTTGCCACATATCATCATGGATTTTTCAAAAATTGATTAAGTTCTACATCCTTAATTATGTCTGGTACCATCTTTGAATGCTCAGTGATGTTTTTTTTCAAAAGTCACCTTTATCTGTTTGTCCACTTTTATTGCAAGACCTCTACCTGCCTGAAAAAGGGTAAATATAGCAAGGTGAAATAAGGGTGAAAATAAAGTAATTTTTCTTGAGCCAAAACAGAATAATTAACAGTTGGAGATTATGTAGCTGGATTAGAAGTACCTTAAAATGAAATCAAAATTTGTTGAATGAATTTTCTCATTTACCAGTAATGTCTGACTTGGGCAAAATGTTAATATTCTGAAAATATTGTATTTTTCCAGGAGAGTAACAAAGTAGCAAAACTAGAACATCAGGAAATCTCAACGCAATATATTCAACAAAAAATACGTGAACTGACAGAATCCTTCGAAAAATCTTTTGACCAATTACAAGCAGAGTTCAAAGAGAGGCTAGATAGTGAAGAGGAGGCTCATATTCAGAGGATTAAGGAGGCAGTGGAACAATCGAGACAGGAACAACAGGTTAGTCGTTTGTTTTCATACTTACACCCTTCACGCAAGACAGGGTGGGGCTAAGCAAAAGGTGCGATGTCATCCAAAAGGGGAGGAGTTACCCAGAGGATTTAGTTTTAATTTGATTTAAGATTAATGATCAAGGTAAAAAGCTGACACCTGGCTGACAATCGGAAACACTGGCCATGGCATAAAGATTTTTTCTTTTCCTTGAGGATTTGAACCCATTGTTTCTGAGTAGGGGAACATTAAGATAAGATTAAAAGGCTGATGGACTGGTTTATTTCCAGGGACGTAGAATACTTCAGGCACTATGATGCAGCCCCAAATTAATGTGTCATCTGCAGTGATTTGAGAGACTTCCCTCATTGCATACTGCATGGTGTTGCAATGTTCAATAGCTCAATCATGAGCAGAATATTAGGTCATAAAACTCCATTCATTTTGTTATATTTCTTCCTGATTTTTTCAGGTTTTTCAACATATAACACAGTGTTTTTTTGCAAGCAGATTATCTTTGCCATTAAAACCTTTAGTCTCATATGTTTTTTCAGTGCTTACAATGAGTTTTAAAGAATTGATTTATAATAGCGAAATGATCAACATCAATTTTTAATGGAGCACTATGATTCCTTTCAGGAAAAATTTGATAAGTTTCTGGAGGAAGAAAGAGAGAAACAAAAAGAAGAAATTCAGAAGGCCCTGGAGGTAAGAATATCCTTTTTCATTTTGTAAAGTAGTATGAAAGAACGAAAGAAACATGGAGTATCAACAAGTAGCGAAAACAGGACCCACATTTCTAAATAGAATTAGACACGATTCACTTCATATTTTGATATTCGACAGTATCGATATCCTTGCACTGTACGAACACGGCAGCGAAAGCTTTTCCTTTTTGCACCTTAAGACAGTTTTATTTGGTTTTTCAGGCAGAGAGAGAATCTAGTCAAGCCAAATTAGCAGAAGCAATCAAAGCCTCCCAGGATGCATCAGAATCCAAGATGGCAGAAGCAGAGGAGAAGATGAGAAAGAGGCTACAAGACAGTGAGAAAGAATCTCGAGTCAATGTTCAGGCAGCATTAAAATTTGAACAAACCAAGATGGAGGTAGGTTGTAAGGCTCCATTTTCAAATCAAGCATTTGTCAGGATATTGGATTTTTGGTTACCCTCTGTCAGTGATGCAGGTTAGAGGGGCTGATATGGCTCCAATGTACTATTGGATTTGTACTAAAAGATCCCTTGACAGTTTCACTTTTCCATTTGCATTTTTGTATATTATTATTGTAGGAGAATTTGAGAGAAGTTCTCAAGGAAGAGAGAGAAAGGAATCGTGTTGCCATGGAGACAGTATCTCAGCAAGCTCGTGAAGATTCCCAACAATATATCAATCAACAGAGACAGGTATTTGCTTTATGTACTCAACGTTTCCAAATGCTCTTACAGGCAGTGTTATCAACCAAAAAATCTTACCATTGAGTTCATAAACGCCTGCTGCTGTAATCCCCTCTAGACAATCTTGTGGCTCCCACTGGGCTCCTACAGCCTAAGGATCATAGTAGCACCACTAAGTGTTGAAGGCCAAGCATGGCCGACACTCATTAACATGTCCATGTATGTTATATTTAACATCATTAGTTCAGTTCTCATGAATAATAACTTGAATTCAAATGAGGTTTCTCTTTTACAGATTGATTCAAGAGTTCGTCGACGCCATCTTGCCAGTTTAGATCTATTTTTAGAAAGTGCACGGCAGCAGATTCAACTTCTCCATGAATCAGAAGATCCACATTCCAACCAATCAGAACCCAGCAAATCAGCCGACAAAGATTCAGACGCAGATTCTAATTCGTGATTTTATTTTAAAAGACATTTTGGTTTTAAATTTACTGGTACAGGCTTTGGTATTCCTTTCAGTTTTCAGAAACTGGATTATTTTATGGCCAGAGAGCAATTTCATGGAAAACAAATTCAATTTTTATCATTTTAGTATTCTAGTTATATGATTGGTCAATGGTCAATTTTTGAATTAAATCAACCAATCGGGTTATTGCTTTTAATAACGGTGAAATACAGTAATCTGATTGGTTGAATTAAATCAAAATTAAAATCTTATAACTAGAACACCAAAATCATGATTTGAATATGAATTTTTTTTAAAAGTGGCCACTGAAATATTTTTTAGCTCAGTCTCTCTGTCCTGTGAATTTTCCGAAATTTTGACAAAGGGGAATAAATATGAAGAAATAACTTTATCTTAGGCCCTTTTCGATTACAACCAATTTGTAATCTAGTGGGGCCTAAATCAAGCAAAGATATTTTTACATCTGGGTAATTTAAAAGGTAAACAAGTAAAGTCTATTTTAATTAAAGATAGAAAAAGTATTGATCCTAAAATGAAAATGGATTGTTTGTGTTATATTGTGAATCATCCTGAATTTGCAGAAATATCTTTGCTACATCACCATGGTTTTAAGATGTTTGTTTTATTCAGTCGTGAAAGATTGTTTTTGTTATGTTACTTTGTTTATTTAATCTGATTCAAATGCAACTCTATATGCTTCATTTCTTGTTTTTTTTGCAAGTTTGCCAAAAAAGCATGTAGTGAATCATCCAGTCTAATTAAAATTACACCAAACTTTCGTTCTGTTTTTTTAATAAGCCTTTATTTTTAATAAAGCCACTTCAGTTAAGGTCTAACGACAGCCCCAGTGAACATTCGTCAAGTTAACCTTTTGACTTAACTCAATGACATCTGCTTTAACCAATCAAATTTGCAGCCTATCCAAGGCTGGAATTTTGTAATACAGTGTTATCATGTCACGTCAAAAGGTCGATTTGACGAACGTATAAGTGGCTATTGTTAGACCTTAACTGAAGTGGCCACATTAGAAATAAAAGATAATACAAAATCGGAAGGAAAGTTTGGTCTGATTTTAGTTAGACTGCGAAACATCAAGATGTATTTTAATCAGATAGATTTTTATCTCAAATTATTAAGTTTTTGAAGAAAGATTTATCTACTAATTGTGACTATAGTTTGAAGTAAATTTAATTTAACCATTACTTTCTGTATAAAGAGTTTACAGTTGGTTACACAACATTTGACCTTTGACCTATTCATGTGAGATTAAGAATTACTGCCAGAATAAACCAATATTTCGAACTCTTTATATTTTGCTGTAAAGAAATTTCTGAAGGTCACCAATTTTAAAAGCCACACTTTTATACTTGAATTTCATCAGTAATAGGTCAAATTGACATACTGGACATTGTTCAAAGATAACATAAAGCACGGTGCCTCATTTGACTAAAGAGTTGCGCATTAACAGATATTGAATATTGATTGGTCGAGGCTGGAAAATGTATTGTAAAATGTTTTTACTTAACACACTACAGACTCAAAACATTGTTACTTGAACAATTAATAATAATTCAAGCAAATGTCAGGTTCTATTTGCATTAATATCTCTGCAGTATTAAATTCTCCAAGAAGTGACTTTTTCTTGTTTTATTTGAAAATAGCTCTTGTGTGAAGAGATGCAATGCATTATCATTGGGAGAAAGTATGCCCACTCTATAGGATAACTAAGTGCAAGAAGAGACAAAATCATTGACCATAATAAGGCTCAAATGGAATGCAACTCTGGCTTGAATAAGACAAATGGTAGGAGAAACCACTCTTACAACAATAAGTGTTTATATATATGATACACATGCCATTATCAATGTCATTGCTGATCTCTCCTATAGAAAGAGAGAATTACCATATAAATAGTACAATCATCTGTGACCACCTCATTCCCATCACTAACCTAAAACACAAATCCTACCAATCATAAAAGTCGTTGAGCTTCAAGCCCCTCTGATATCACTTCACTTGGACGTCACCTCTAATATCTTGTGGCTTATGTCTAAGAAGATAGGGACAAGTTGGCTTCTGTCATTTGAATATTCCACTAGCGCTCTACATCTTTACCAAAGTCGTAGATATTGATTGTATTCATTGAGATATTGCTGTTGTTTCTTTCCATATCAAACAAGAAAAACACATAAATTACAAAAATGATTTTTTTTATTTTGCAAATATCTTTGATTATCTGATTTATAAATATTGTAACATGCTTTATAAATACACGATGGATGCAGGACAAGATGGCTACATTTAATCATGAATGATATTAAAAGCATATAGCCCGAAAAATCTGCCTCTATTCCAGCCTCTGATAGCTATTTTGACAGTCGTCAACTGGAGTAGGGTCACATACAGAAAAATCCCCATTAAACAGGACCAAGTTTTTCTGCCTCTACTCCAGCCTCTGATAACAATTTTGATAGTTGTTTGCTGAAGTAGAGTAGAGAAACACTTGGCTCTGTTTAATGGTGATTTCTCCACATCTGACCCAACTCGAGTTGACAACTTTCTAAGTAGCTATTACAGGCTGAAATAAAGGCAGATGTTTTGGACTAATAAAAAGCGTTATGACAAAAAAATATCTAAAAAAAAAACAAATAAATTCTAAAATGATGTATGACATACTTTACATACATTCATTAATAGTAAAATGTTTTCAAAACCCCTGAAGCACAGGCCATCTCTTCAAAAATAATAGTATGTATATAATTACAGAACACTTCTGGTGCATAAATAAAATATCTAGCAAATGCATTTGGCAATGGCAGAATGTGCTAAAGAGGTTTCCTTAATTTGTTATGTGTATCAGGGACACTGATAGCATCAGTTTACACCATTCCAATTTTCAATCAGATGTCTGTGGTTCCTGCAATTCCACTAAAACTAAGTTTTTGATTGCGTCACTAATTGCAAAGGGGCTTATGTGATAAAGCATATTTTGCTATTAGTGTCATCAAACACTTCCCCTTTGTGGAATTTCAGGAACCACAGACGTCTGACTAAAAATTGGAATGGTGCAGATTGATGCTATCGGTGTCTCTGAAACAAAAGAAAAATATAGAAAACCTCTTTTACAATCTTGTTAATTAAAACTTAAAACTTATTAGGTATAAACAATATATAAAGCAAATGCAAACTGGCAAGAGACAATTAAAATATATGACCGAGATAAATTGTGGTCTTAAACTTGTTGATTCTTAAAATTTGATTATCAAAAATTGCCGAATACAACAGTAAGAACAGAGGCAGGGACATAGCTCAGTTTGTGGCGAGTTGGACTCCTCAAGGTAAGAAAAATTCTGATGTCTATGAGTGTGGTTCTGAGAGTCAGCTCTCACCTAATACACTAACAACAGTATGCCGAAGAAGGTGTTATATACCCTGATATAATATAGCATTAGATAAATGCAGGTGAAGTATGCAAAATGGTGAAAAAATTTCTAAATTACGTATCTACTTGATTAATCTGAATTTGTTTTAAAATGGCTGATTTGAAACAGAACATAAGCTCTACTAATTGTTAAGTAAGCAGTTTAAATTGGGTTTGTAGAAGCTTTAGATTTTCATCTGAAACTGTCTGAATAATATAGATTCATATTTCTCAACAATTTGGCGATTATTTTATAAAGTAAACATATATACATATATTCAGTAATATTTAAACACTCTGGCAACTTTAAAATTAAAATGTTTGGTATGAGATTCTGTAAAATTAACACTATCAAGAGAGTTATAGTTACCAAGTGATTGCATTGACTAATATGGAAATATCAAATTTACATATAAGAAAAGTAAAAAGAAGAATATCTTTTCGATGACATGATATGGATTGCAAAGAAGTTTTCTCAATTCTTATGTGTATAGGGGAAACTGATATCATCAATTTGCACAATTCCAATTTTCAAAGAGATTTCTGTAGAAGTAGAATTGCAGGAACCACAGACAACTGATTGAAAATTGGAATTGTCCAAATTGATGTTATTATTGTTCATGATTCACTTAAATTCAGAAAAGCTCTCTACAATCCCGAAAAGCTCTCTACAATCCCTTCTTTTAAAAATATTCTAATGGCACTGTTATGAAGGTTAGATATCACTTTGCTAAATTAAAACCTCAAAATACTAAGAATCCAAACCACAAAACGAAACAAGAAAACTTGACAAAACATTGGAAGCAGCTAATGAACTATTCATATGAGGAAGTATATCAATTATTCAGTTGTAAATGAGGAAGTGTTTCATAAAAAATTGTAAAACTGAATGTGCACTATTTGTGTTGACCTACTAAAAGTAAAAAATGGAGTTGCATATCCTACTTTAGACACAGATTTACCTTAAATACTTAATCTCAACAAAAATTGTTAATGTCATACATAGTAAATTGCATGTGCACTATTTGCAGTGACTTACTGAAAATGAAAAAAAATATTGTTCTATATCCTTACCCCTCCTTTTGATCCTCAATACACAGATCTACTCAAAACATTTTATATCAACTTACTCCGTGTATAAGATATACCATGTATAGGCACAATTTTTATTGACCTGCTAGAAATAATTTTAAATTTAAAATAACAGGTTTTACATCTTTTAGACCTGCTATAGACCTTATTCAGGCCTCGTTTTTGAGACACTGAAAGCGAGGTTCATAACGCAAATTATGTCATACATTGATAAGATGACAACGTCATATGAATAGCCTATGTAAGGTCACAAAACACCAGATCAACAGGTGGCGATTTGACTACAGTGACATCACGTTACCTTTGTTTGTTTGCCTCCAATATGGCTAATGCATGAATAAGGTCTATATAGACACAGATAGTACCTGCAAATATACAGTAGTAGCCACAATACCACAATAATCTCAACTAAAATCATACTCTACATTTAGTAACATCATGCATGTGCATTTATAACAATGACCTACTAAAAATCACTCACATCCTTAACCTTAAAATCCTACAATTTGTTCATAATTGCAGCAAAAATTGTACACAAAATATACCTTGGTCTACAAGACAATACCATCTCTTATGTTATAAATAAAATATGTTTTAAATTGCATGTGCATCAGTAACACTGACCTAATAACATGAACTCATCATCTAGCAACTTACCAATTCTAACAAAAATTGCGCACAAAATATACCACAATGAAATGATGATGACTAAATAAAAATGAAATCTGAAAATGCCATCGATGATTAGACCATGGGCTGTTTTTCAGGCGACGATTCGGACTCTCTTGGTGATGTTGATTCATCATTCTGTTCTGGTATCGAACACAATATTCTCCGACTTGCTCGCGATCCACCGCTATCATCTGATTCAAATACATCATCAGCGTATTCGTTTAATAATCTACGTTTTGGTCGATATGGACGTATCAAACGTTGTTGTTGCTGTAGCAACTGATAGTTTGTATTGTTTATACGAGATTGTGATAAAGGTTGGTTGCTAGGTGGCGCTGTATGTCTTATAGATCTAATCACCACGTAACCATTATCTGGGTCATCTGAAAATATAAAATTGATAATATCAAAAAAGTCCTTCTTTTCGCAGATATTGTAGACAGTCAACGATAGTGTTCAATGTAGACTGTCAATGAATGTGTTCAATGTAGACTGTCAATGATAGTGTTCAATGTAGACCGTCAATGATAGTGTTCAATGTAGACTGTCAATGATAGTGTTCAATGTAAACCTTCACTGATAGTGTTCAATGTAGACTGTCAATGATAGTGTTCAATGTAGACCGTCAATGGTAGTGTTCAATGTAGACAGTCAATGATAGTGTTCAATGTAAACCTTCACTGATAGTGTTCAATGTAGACTGTCAATGATAGTGTTCAATGTAGACTGTCAATGATAAGTGTTCAATGTAGACTGTTAATGATAGTGTTCAATGTAGACAGTCAATGATAGTGTTCAATGTAGACCGTCAATGATAGTGTTCAATGTAGACCGTCGATGGTAGTGTTCAATGTAGACAGTCAATGATAGTGTTCAATGTAAACCTTCACTGATAGTGTTCAATGTAGACTGTCAATGATAGTGTTCAATGTAGACCGTCAATGATAGTGTTCAATGTAGACCGTCAATGGTAGTGTTCAATGTAGACCGTCAACGTTAGAGTTTAATGTAGATTGTCAATGATAATGTTCAATGTAGACCGTCAATGAGGTGTTCAGTATAGACCGTCAACGATAGTGTTCAATGTAGACCGTCTATGAAGATCTTAGTGCTTAAGGTGTCTAATCCCTTAATTTTGAAGCCCAGTTTTTACGGAATAACTGAAATTTGATTAGACCCGGCCCAGTCAAGATTATGTGAAATTTGTCCTGAAGTCTTACTAGAATAAGATACAATAATAATAATACGATCTTTTGTTTTTTTGTTGGATTATCAATAATACAAGCGATTATCTAATTGATGATAAGTGATTGAGATGACTAAATGTCAGATTATACAGATTTTTCTGAGTGTCGTAATTCAGAATACACAGAGTATCAAAGTACTTAAAGTTTTTAAACTAGCCTAAGAAGGAAATCCATCGAGAATATAAAAAGATGTCGGATTACGCAGAATGTTGGAATACTCAGATGTTGACAGAGTACACTGTAGAGCAATCAAGGAAATAACTGATGATGCCCAGGCCGGATACACAGTACTGGGTGGGTGATAATAGAATATCCTTATTTCGTTAGCTCAACCATTCAAATTATCACCTTCACATCTTTATGTTTAAAGATAGTTTGCCAGGCAAGGTAATATATGCACACTGGGACTTCTATCATAAGGTGATAATAACATCTTTCATCAAGTTTTATCAAAATTGAAGAATTGTGCCAACTGATGTGTTTATGAGCTAAAAATTGAACAAGTTAATCAAGAACAAGGGCAATAATTCAATTTGTCCAAATTTCACTAGGGTTCATCCTTGGGTGATTACAAACACTCACACAAAGTTTTGCCAAAATCAATCAAGAATTGTGCCTTCTGAGGAGTTTATGAGCAATTGTGGACTGACAGACCAGCAGACGATCATAGGCCACTCCAATAAACACGCTGGCACATTTAATGTAGGAACATAATATAGGTGTTTTACCAATCAAAAAAATGTGCAAGAAATTTGCTCAAGTCAATAAGAAATGACCCTTATTTCCACTTTAAGATGATTATTCTATTCATTATATTATATCTCAACAACCCTATCATTAATTTACTAGTGTAAATCAGATTGCTTGGTCAAAATACTGTTAACAGATAGATGTTATACAACTCTTATTGATGCTCTCTATTCAAAATGATTATGCTACATGCGCCTAGCGCCTGATGCAGATTTTGTACACGTGTCAGTACAAACATAGGATGGTTATCTCATACCTTAAAAGGCTTGAGTCAAATGAAAATATTTAAAAGAACCTACCTGTATCATCATATTCAGGTCTCTTGATCTGAACAGATGCGTGGAGTTTCCGACAGGCGTACCAGACCACCATTGTAGCCGCTATTATCAGGACACATAAAACTCCAATCAACGCAAAAGCTAAGTTCTTCCAGTATTTATCTTCGGAACTGGTAGTTGGGACTTCTTCAATAATTCGTGGATTGTAGTCACGATCAAAAATATCTGGAATATCTGGAGATTCTTCGACTACAGTTATCTCCTCTTGAGTTCCATACGGGATTTCATTTCGGAAATTGTCAAATTCTGTGAAATGACTACAAATTGTGTCGGATAAATTTGTACAATCTGTTCGGATAATTAAGTTTATCGGACATTTTGTACAATTCCGACAAATATTAGATTCTTTCTCATAATATTGTCCATCTTGGCAAATATTTTCTTCAGCTCCTGATGTTTGATACACACATAAAAATACGAAAAAAGTCAAATTAAAACACCAATTCATCTTTATTTCTTTTGTTTATCTTTGATTCTATCTGAAATGATGGAAAATGGCTTATTTAACTTCCTTGTTCATTAATAAACTAGTAATGAAATTAATCCCATACACAAGTCATAACCATTAATCAAAAATGAAGTTAGTTAGGCCTATAGCTGGTACACATATCAATGGAAAACCAAAATTAAACCAACTACCAAATCAAAAATCAAAAGTACCCAAATCAAGTCAGATGTACTGGTGACAGGAAATCTAACTGAAAATGAGTGGGAGATAGATCTACCTACATGAGAAATACCTCAACTGTGTCATGTTTTTCAAATATCCTTGAAAAAAAGCATTTAGAATTCATTAGCACCTACAGTTTGATCAATTGTACCTTATTCTCAGAAATGTGATTTATTTTAGCAAAGCTAATCATTAATATTGTTCACAGTTCACCATTGAAATTTTATTCTTCAAAACAAGTCAGACGTCAGTTGGTCTTGCAATTATACTAATTACTAAAAAACGATCATTTTATGAACTAGCTTTTGCAAAAGATTCTCAGCCTAAGATATTATTAGCAGCATATTAAAAAGTTATATCCCTCACAGTTCAGATATCTCAGCTAATGACATATGTCCAGACAGAAAATTGGAATATGCAAATATCAAATGTAGCAAGTATAATCTTAAGAGATATTGATATGTCATTAATGCTTACTAATAGATTTCTTAATCTATGATTAAGAATATAACCATAAGCAGTTTATTCCAATATTTCCCCAATTCATTCCTTTCGTTCATTCACCACAATAATTGATCAAAGTTTAACTGTTTTTAATTAGTTTGTTATAAGTCAATTGTGAGAGGAAACCATCTAGAATAGAGGTGGAAACTGAAACCACTGGGGGACCACTTCTGGGGATTAACTTGAACAGGGGAAAAAACCACTACATGCCCAAAATAAATGTCGCAAATCTAAATAAATATTGACCATTTTTTATTCTATCAATTTCATGTTAATCAATATATGATATACAGGGAAGTAAAGTAAGGTAGGGATGATGGTAATTTTTCAGACACTATTCAAAAACAAATGGCAAAGCAGTGAAATTTCTCAAATCTATTTTTAGTAACGTAGACCGTCCTGTCTGAGAATTTCTCACAAAATCAGGCGAAATCGACGGAAAAATCAGACAAAAATGATCTCTCACTAGAATCTTCTCATAATCAAAATCCTGGATATATTTAAATCGTGTCTTTAACTCACCCTATTAACCTATTACGATACTTTATTCATTTTGTCCAGAAAACTTTTTCATTTTTCGGTGTTCAGCCATTGATATCCCAGGATTCAATGTTTGTGTCACGTGATATGGGATGAATGAAAGTATAATCCAGAGGCGTTTTTATTAGGTTTGAAATTATTGAAATTGACTTGGATAAGATATTGATTTCGTGACTCATGTCGCCAAAAAATATCCGAAACTTTGTATTGAATATGAACCGACACCTTTACAAGTAGTGACAAGAATTTAAGGCGTATGCTCCTCAAAAATTCCACATTTTAATGTTACAACTGCCGATTTTACAACTTCCTTTCTGTGATAAAAACGCCTATGAGATTTAAGCTTAGATTGTCCAGAAGCGCACTTGTTTCTATTGAAGTCTGGAAAATAGAGTCTATTCATAATTCATGTCACATGACAAGACGATAGTGACATTTAGTCGTGACTGATCAAAATAGGATATTCTGTGAATTGAATCCAGATTTCGACTTTTAAAATGGATAAGGAACCGACTAAAGTTGTTGGGGCTAAACCAGGAGTAGTCTACCAAAGTCTGTATGGGATTTTTATTGCAGTTTTGATAATAGTAGGCCTGTACTACAACCTTACCGGCCGAGGTTCACGATTTGACATTGGATGGTTTCTCCAATCCACTTCTCCTTATATGTGGGCATTGATTGGAGTTGGTTTTGCCATTTCTTTATCCGTTGTAGGAGCTGCTTGGGGAATTTACACAACTGGTACGAGCATATCTGGCGGAGGAGTCAAAGCCCCACGTATCAAAACCAAAAATTTAATCAGTATTATCTTCTGCGAGGCTGTAGCCATCTATGGAATTATCATGGCCATCGTGATCAGTACCAACCTGGTTTATTTTGATCTAACAAAGTTCGACGATCCAGCAAAAGTTTACCAAAATTATGGTGCCGGATTTATGATGTTTGGAGCAGGTTTAACTGTCGGTCTGACCAATTTAGCTTGTGGAATTTGTGTTGGAATTGTCGGCTCTGGTGCTGCGTTGGCCGATGCTGCAAATGGATCGTTATTTGTGAAGATTTTGATCATAGAAATCTTCGGTAGTGCTATTGGACTTTTTGGATTAATTGTAGCCATTTTACAAACCTCAAATGCTGTGATGGCTAGTAGCGCTGCATAGATCGAGAGAAACTCTCCTAGCAAATTAGCATTTTAATATTTTAAGGTGGTAAACAGGGTGATTTTCAATGCAGAGTCAATAATTTTAACTGCATTCGATGTTTTAAAGAAGAAAGATTATATATATCCCTGTGTAGAATGGTCTAGTATACGTCTAAAGCAAAATAAGGAAAGTTAGCCTACATGTTGAATGTAAAACTAAAACGACTTCAAGATATAAGTTATAAGCTTATAGTTTTTTATTTGTGGTTATAAATAACAGTTCCATATTACATTTTGTCCTGATTTGGGCACTTTGGACTAAGGGTTCTGCCTTTAATCATCTAAACTAATAAAGTAGGCTTATACAAAGTGGTGATAAGTTTTCCGAGGGGGTAAGCCAAAAAATGTCCCTCAACCTTTCATTCAGTATTGGTGCTATCAAAAGTGGTAAATTCTAAATATTGTTATATACAATAGTGCGAGCTGCTTGAATAATGAAAATCACCCTGTTTACGATTGTCAATGACATAAAGAACAAAAACTATCATAAGTTTGGACTATGTAAAGTTATATTTATTAGAAATCTTGACTGTATATTATCAATACCAGGATGTTGTGTATTTAGAGTAGTAAAGAGTATATCTGAAATAATGATCCATACACAATGTAGTACTAATATTAAAAATTCAGTTGATTGGAATATAATTTTAAGTTGAATGATTGATTTATAAGAGATTAGGGTGGTTGAAAGGTAACAAGTTTCTATCCAACAGAAGGCACTGGCACAGGGTTAAAGCAATGTTCATTAATTGTGGAGATTAGGATGGTTGATAGGTTACTAGTTACTATCCAACAGAGGCATTGGCACTGGGTTAAAGCAATGTTCACTAATGTTAAGGTTTATATATGTTTTATAAGTGTTTACTTTGTGACCTGGGCCACTTTGCTCTCGCCCTACCTTCTCGTAATAATTTATGAAATATAGAAACCAATATATAAATTCCAACTGTTGATTAAAAATTAAGTTGATTGTCATTTTACATACAGCATAGTGTTACAATGTAGCAGAGCATCGTATATGCAATTATTATGCGTATATATCGATATGCAAACACTAAAGTTGAATGATGAAAGTTAATAAATACGGTAACAAATGGTTGGTCTAATTTTGACCGTCAATATGTAAACACTGAAATTGAACGGTAAACTTCTTAAGAATTGATATATCACTATCTACGTCCTTACCAGCCAAAACTTGATTGTATCATTATCATATATTATATTGTTATTTGATCATTTGAATGAAAATTTGCTAATTCTATGTTATTGTTACTATATACAGAATGAGAGGTGCAATTTGTATATAGCTGAATTTTTTTTTTAATTTGAGGAATTTTTCAGTGAATAACACAACCACTAAAGGAAATGGAAAGATTTTTTAGCCTTTATATGTGTATTCAAGGACATTGGTGACAAAGAAATCTTTGTAATCTCTAAATAAATGCCATGACATCAAGTCCTTATTGCAAATATCTTTTCGACCCTAATGGTATTTGCAAGAGTGACATGTGGTAAATGCTGTAGAAATTCAAATCCAAGTGAGTGTGTTATTTTGATGAAAAAGTTCTTTTGATAATGAATGTTTGATTGGATCTTCTAATTTCCTTTATGTGTAACAATGTATCACAATGTATTACAATGTATCACTATGTATCAACTCCTTTATTATTATTATTGTTCAGAGGGAAATCCTGGTGTTTTGTCTCCTGTATTATAGAAATTAATAGAATATAGAATATGTAGGTCATTTACATATGTAATTATCTAGCCTTATGTAATTTGTGGATATCTAATAAGTCTGTTTGGTACCAGACAATTATATTTTAAGTAAGTTGAAAACCAATCATTTAACTGTCCCATATTTATATTTAATCAAAGGTATGTGAGTTGATCATCTAGTCTGTTATTCCAAAATTCAAATAAAATAGCCAATCAAAATTAAGAATTGATATGTATCCATTTGCATAGTGACTCAAAACATTCAACAGGGAGAAAAACTTTCATCTTTTGTCTTTTTGACCCAAAATCTTTCTGAAAGTTGTCGGTAGAATCCCTTATGTTACCGTATGATGTACATAACTCCGGCTACAAGATATTTAAATTATTTTTTGAAATTGTCTAATTGTCCTTATATGGTGTTGACATTCCTGCTGTATTTAATGTAATAAAATTGTATTGTGAAAATTAAAAGTATGTATAATATGAATTGTTATGTAGATTATAATATAATGTATGAAATAAATATCTGTATTATACTCCTTATTTAATGTTTTTTGAAAAGAATTTTACTATTCTTTATCATAGTCTGTGATATTTTCTTAAAAAATTGTCATTTGGTAGGAGATTAACTATGGCCTAGGTTTCTCAGTCTGTACATCACATCATAGATCCTCATGAACGTTTTTTTTTATGGAAATTATAATATTCTTTGTATATGTATCTGTGAAGCTTACGTGGAAATAATTGTTTAACAATTGACACTAAACCATGTCATCAAATCTTTACCACAGCTAAGGTGATCAGAGCCCACTTGTCACATACTTAAGCCATAAAAAAAATTCCCCCTCCCCCTTCTAGACCGTGGTATAGCTACAGGCCTGCATCATGTTAAGATGACTCGAAAGTTGGAAATTGAAAGTGTATGCTCATGCTTCTCTCATTACAAAATGGACAGCATGGCACTTCTTCTTCAGCCTTAACTGTAGAAGAAAACTAGAAGTCTAAGTATTGGCCTTACCAGCTGATAGAGCTCGATTTAAGCTTTTAAAAAGCATTATTTACCAAAAACTTAGACACTGTTTCCCTTTAAATTATAATTTGTCCTCTATTTTTTGCAAAACCTGGTCAAGTTAAGAAAAATGTATAAAAATTTGGTTAAGTCTGAACAAATGAATTTATCTTTAAGAGGTTTATACTAGGGCCCTGGTAACAGAGATATGTTGTCAGTGTAGAAAACCTTTCAAGATAAGTGGATAGCAAGGACACTAACATAGGTAATATTCAGTGTGTACAGTATCTTAAAGGGACAGATGCGCCATTGTTTGACCAAACATATTTTAGTCTATGAAACAGGAATTTTTTTAGCTAAGCCAATCAGTAATAGTGTTCATAGCTCACCGTCCAAATTTGAGTTTTCAAATCCATGTGTGTAGGACGTAATTAGAATGACTGAGTTTGAATGTTAAAATGACGACTTGTCAATTTAAGATACTCTGTTATATATAGAAAGAACAGATAGAAATAGTGAGTAAAATTCATAGTTTGAAGTACCATTTTTAAAGGAATTATGCGATTTTCGTACATTTTTAATATTGTTGAAGACTACCGGTATTTACATATAATCAACAACCCCTTAAAATGGTGCATCTATCCCTTTAAAGATTTTAATGAAGAGTTTCTGTTTATTATTAGGTGGGGGCTGGGTAAATACAGGAATAGAGTACTGACTACCTGTCACTTTGTGTCACTACAAATTCCACAAAACATAGTTCTAGCCTTTAGATGTCAATAAAACTTGCTAATATATTTAATAAACAATTTTATTGACACTAAAATCAACAAATAATCATAGATCTAAATATTTTAATGAATCATTTATGCAATACACACATTCAAGTGATCATCACATGCAGTAGTGCATTGCTTAATTTTAATAACTAGAATCTGTGTCCCTGATTCCCCAAAAACATGGCGCACCCATAGAGTTAGTTTGTATATATAACTTTATAACTGAACCACAGATCACATGGGCTAGAATGTAACCAAGCTTGTAGAAAAAAACAACTAGGGATCTGCTTGCAGTGACCAACGCTTTCGGTTCAAACATCTAAATAAGGCCATTTCTAATCTTCATCAGCAAACATTTCCCCCATCACTGACAACTTCATGTGAAACGGAAGAGCCTCACATCGTAATAGTTCAGGTTTAGATTCATAATCTATAGAATAATTACGTAACGTTTTATATAAATTATTCACACTAGGGGGCACTAGCGGAGTCACGTTTTCTGTATTTTTATTGGTGAATAAATTAATTATCTGTTGTGCCAGATTGATTGATGGTTTCCGCCGTGTTTTATGAGCTTTGAAATCTGGCGTTGGTTCTTGATTCAATGTTTTCTCCTCTCTTAAACTCGAATTAACGACAGTTTGTATTTCAGTGATTGTGTCATTGTCCAATTTAAAATTCCCATTCTGATATTTTTCGTAAAGTTTTTCAACTTGTTTCATATTTAGATTTAAATTCAGTCCAGCTTTTTCTACGATTGTTAAAAATTCTTTAAAACTTTTCACTGTTCGCGATTTATTATTAATATTGTCAGTAAGATTTTCAACTCCTGCATCTGGTTTGGTTAAATTCACTTTTGATGTCGGAGTGTCATCTTTTTTTGTCGTAGTTTCGTCTTTCTTTTTTCGTTTTCGATTTAATTTTTCTCCTTGAATCAAATCATCTCTTTCATCAGTTATTTCCAAAAGTTCAAATAAATTCAAATTATCGTGAAAATTTTGCAAGATGCGATCCTCTTCCTTTTTTGCGGCGCTGCAGCAATGGACGGCGGCCATGTCTATAGGATGAGCTTCCGTGTTGAAGATATAAGCTCCAGTATCTATAACACATTCACCACTAGGCGTCTGGATAACAGTGCCTTTCGCTCCGTTATTATGAATGAAGTTGTCCGGATCAAACAGTAAATATAGGTATTTAGTCGTCTCGGCCAGGAAAAACGACTCCATTCTGTTATCTAGTCTGTGATCTCTTACATCTTTTATCTGAAAAAAATTCAAGATTGAAAATAAATATCAAATCATAGTCAAACATATAAGAGAAAAAAGAATTGGCCAAAAATATTGATAACACACAATTATTTTCATAGACATGCATATTCTCAAGATGATCTTAGCACTAGGATTTCCCAGGGTCTTAACTTCTAACACTGTATGTAGGATATCCTAGCTCTAAGATCATTAAGAGATCTCAACTAACACCAACAACAATATCCTGAGCATGTACATGTATCTATATAACATATATAACGTAAGCAATAGAACTCATTATGCCATTTATAACTATTGTTACAGTCCCTGTGTGAAAGAGGTCTCTGCAAAACAATTTGACAGAATTAGGTGGAAGTTCCAATGATGTACGCCTACTTGAGGGCCTATATTTTCAAATATTTCAGATTAACTAGCAGATTGATATCATTAGAGATTAAAACAAAACTAATTTGAAATTAAACATTTAGTAAAACCACAGTGTCTCTTACAGAAATTGGAAATGTCACTGGGAGCAGAGAAATGTAAAACCATTCAGATTCACTGCCAGCTCTTTCTACAGTCATCAGAGTGTATGTTCTACTCATTCTGATTCAAGAATAGTCTTTATTCCCAATTTACAGAATAAATCTTACCGTAGCATAACCACAGTTAGTTCTAGAGCTATGTTCTACAGCTTCTAATAAATCTATTCCTATTTCTATAAGATATGGATCCTTCGTAGCTTGATATAAATAAACAGCACTTTCTACCAACTCTACAATAGATAATATTATCATAAAAACACATCAAAAATCACTATCTGTTTAACACTGAGTGTGAATAAAATAAAAACATCCAAAATCATATACACTGAATTCCAAGTTTGTAATAGTTGCTTCTCTGGTTGATTGGGCATATATCAAGTAATTATGTGGTCATAAGAGTCGCTGCAAGGGTTGGAAGGGTTCAGTTTCAGTTTAAAGATTTTATAAATGTTCATCTTCTATCATCACAGGTTTCTAATATCAATCACTAGGACTAAATTTGTGAGCAAAGAAAATAAACCAGGAAATTTTGCAGCGGCATTAGCCTGCATTTTAGTTTCCAACTGTCGAGGGATCTTTAACATGCACAACCTGTAGCACACGGGGCCTCGGTTTACTGTCTCATCCAAACAAATAGACGCTTTTTCCATGTCAGCCCCTCTTACCTGCATCACTGACAAGGGGAAACGAGGTTGAAAAATCCGAAGGTATTATCTCAAGCTATGCCAAAATTGAACCCTGGACCTTCAGGTAAGAGAGCAAGCGTCTAGCTCAATGAGTCACCGCAGAAGCCATCGTTGGGAGCATTTTGGTGAAAACCGCGTAAGAACATGCTTACCTGGTCTAAGTGGATATCCAGCTCGTTGTTGATGAACCTCAGCTTTTGGTATATTATAAAACTCAGGTGTAAAACCATACTGTTTTGCCACCTGGTGGAAGTTATGGATTGTTTTCATTCCTTCTTCTACATCTCCTAACATACACTGAAATACAGATAAAGAGATTTGTCAGCCTGAGAGCTTGTAAGTAGTTGGCCAGTTTCTTGATATGAGAGTTTTAAATTCAGTGAGATGTTTTGAAAAACCAGGTGACTTGAGCTCTGAGTCCCAAAACACATACAGAGACTAGAATAGTCAAATGTTTTGACTGCACAAGTTTTATGAATTATCTAGAATAAACAATGAAAAATACCTGAATTCCTGGCCAGTAAGCATCTAATGATGTAAATACAGGTAGAGTTATTCCCCCTTTCTTCATATTGGCCCACATATACCAGTCATCACGTTTTGTATGTTGTATCAATACCTTCTCATATTCTACAAGTAAAATTATTTAAAAATTCTCAAGCATGACAAGAATTACACCAGCCTTTGTTGATTGTCCCCATCTGACAGACGATGACACTTTTTAAATCTGAGTTTCTTGTGATAGTTCTTGGAGTTCTAGGGAAAGTCATGCAGTGTGCAACAAGGGACATTTTGTCTGGACACCACAAAGCCTGTTTATATTTCTAGGGGTACAAACAAGACGCAGACGGCAACTCGCAAGGGTTCTCCCAAGAAAATTTAATTGATTTGGTGCATTCTGACACATATTTCGAGACAAAAATGTGGAAAAATCGTAGGGCCACAATTGGGGTGCAACCCATTTTCAGCAAGATTTTGATGGTTTGCAAATTGTTCGACATGAATGTGAGCAGTTGTGTAACCTTCAGGTTAGGGAGCAAGCATTAAACATGATCAAAGAAGCCTGGGTCCCGAAACCATCATAATATTGTGGAGAATCTTATCATTTGATCATAAGATTTATGAAATGGAATGTGGAGCTGATCGATTGTTGACTTTAACTTGAATCAAGTTCAGAAGAGATCCACGTGTGCCGAAAAATATTCTAGATGCAGACAGAATTCAAAATGGCAAAGAAAGCAATGTGAAATATCTGCTTCAGTATCGTTCAATTGGGGACAGAAATGGAACAGAAGTAACCTGTTCAGAACTTTCAACCCAAATAATATAAGTATCGCATCATGTCCCCACTGCAGTCATAAACAAGACCAAGACAAATTAGTTTATTTCTTTCAACAACCATATTTTACAATACAAAATCAACCAGGTGCCTTATTCTTGAAATCTTAAGTTAAGATGATTGTAGTGTTCGAGTCTTCTGATTGGTCTATTACTATAAGCAATTTCAAATTTAGTTTTATTATCCAATCAGATTACTGTATTTCTTAAAATCTTTGATGCCCCTGTTCTGTATTTAAATATTTCAGTTTGGCTGCTTTACTGTATCATTTCCACCATTTTCTTTTCAATGAAGGCAAACATTGGTTGACTGTATAACAACGTGTTCCGCTATTGTCTTGAAGTTTATTATTCCACATTTTTAACTAGAATTCTTTCTTCATCCTGAAAATATAGTAAGTAAGAAAATTAAAAAATTTGGAAAAAAATAATCAAACCCAACAGGGACATTAATAAATAATATATCTTTAATATATTTACAATGCAGTTAATTACAATTTAAAGTCGGTGTCTGTCCTATGACTTAGAACCAACTTATATTTGTCTGTTTTACTTTCATTCACATAGATTTCATATCAAACTAAAGGTTTCATATCAAACTAAAGGTTTCATATACTCAAATATAATCGAATTTTTAATAAATTCTAAATATATTTGAATATTATGATTGTGAAAACACAAACTTCAGATATTTCGGAATAAGTCTAAACCAACATTTAATGTATTCTAGTTTCTAGTGTTGTATTTTTCTTAACAATCATAACATGTATTCAAATTTCCGAAAGTCATAACAATATTCTGAAAACTCTATAGTGTATATTTTTATCAGAAATTGAAGTATAGGTTAGTGAGAGTGAGAAAGGTGAAATGTTATATTGTTAGAGTTAATGGTTAATGTGAAAGGCAAAGTGAAAGAAGAAATCATTGCACTACTTAAATTTCTGAATTTTATACACCATAGAGTACTGACAAATTTCACAAAATTTTGAATTTCGGGGAATTTCATTTCATTGAAGCATTTTAAAACATAAATACGAAATATTTGGACATTTCAAAAATTGATCACATAAAAAAAGATCTGACATGAATCTATCAATTCAGAGCTATACAAGTCAAAGTTGGCACAAACAAAATCAAAATGCCATCCCGGATCATTCAAGATGATAAAATCAATGAGGTAGACATGAAATGAGTTCAATAGCCATCTTGGATCATTCAAGATGATAAAATCAATGAGGTAGACATGAAATGAGTTCAATAGCCATCCTGGATCATTCAAGATGATAAAATCAATGAGGTAGACATGAAATGAGTCCAATAGCCATCCTGGATCATTCAAGATGATAAAATCAATGAGGTAGACATGAAATTAGTTCAATAGCCATCTTGGATCATTCAAGATGATAAAATCAATGAGGTAGACATGAAATTAGTCATAAAATGAATGAGGCAGACATGAAATTAGTTCAATAGCCATCCTGGATCATTCAAGATCATACAATCAATGAGGTAGACATGAAATGAGTTCAATAGCCAACCTGGATCATTCAAGATGATAAAATCAATGAGGTAGACATGAAATGAGTTCAATAGCCAACCTGGATCATTCAAGATGATAAAATCAATGAGGTAGACATGAAATGAGTCCAATAGCCATCCTGGATCATTCAAGATGATAAAATCAATGAGGTAGACATGAAATTAG